CGCGGCGTTAAACAACAAACACGCAATCTACGAAGTCACAGAGCCTGTCCATCCGATTCTGTTCGTCGCGACCGCCTCTGTGGTCTAGTGGTAGAGCGTCTGCCCGGAGAGCGGAAGGTCTGGGGTTCGACCCCCAGCCGCATCATACCAAAAGACGTTAAAAGAGGGTGCTTGTTGTTACCCTGTCAGGCGCTCTGCATTAAGGGGCAAAACAAGGACTGGTCGTTTAGGGAGTATACTGTGTCTGAGTGGGGTATTCATGTTAAACTACGACATGGTATCCTAGTGGACGTGGACCATAAAATCGGCATTTGTCCGGACTAATACAAGCAGCCACACACACACACACACACACACACACACACACACACACACACACACACGTGGATGCACGTTGCTTTATTAGTGCAATACTCGCGACGTTAAACCCGGTTTCACCTAACCTGTTCGTCGTTTCTTACTAGCGTCAGGGGCGGTTGGGTAGCCAAATAGTTAAAGCGTTGGCTCTTCACGCCGGAGACCCGGGTTGGATTCCCCACATGAACAAATGTGTGAAGCCCATTTCTGGCGTCCCCCGCCGTGATACTGCTGGAATATTGCTAAAAGTAAATCTTACTCACTCACACACATATTATCAAGAGCAATGTGGCGCTGGTTTCTGTGTAAAGGAGATCAGCACGGGCTATAGTTTAATTTACTAATTCACTATCATAAACCACTTGACGTGCATTCAGTACAATGCCAGTAGTTGGGTACAGTCGTCTGGTACGGACTACTTCCGGTTGCGTGCGCCTCCAAGATGGCGGTATTTCCGGTTCCGGAAGGCGTGCGCCTCCAAGATGGCGACTCTTCCGGGTCGATGACGTCAATAAGAAGTCGGTTCTACGTCACGTCCGGTTTCCCGAGGGGGCGATGCCTCCATGGACATCTATCCAAACAACACCGTCAATGCATATGAAATCAAGTTGCCTTATCCTCTGCATCTGGACCGCCAACAGTGGGGGGTGGGCGTCAGCGAAATTCACTTCTCGATGACATGGTACAACGTCGCCCCACCCTTTGACTGGTTGACGCTGAACATCAAACTGAAAATACACCCTTGTGTATGAAAGCCCTGAGAGGGCTATACCCCAACCACAGTATGGTGTCGTCCATTACGAAAGCAAGAAGATTCCAATCGAGAAAGGCGTCTGTTCATCTGCAGATTTGGTTAAAACCTTCAACCGTTTGATTCAGGAACATATTACGGGTGTCTTGAAAGAACAGCCCAAAGTGATGGCAAACAGTTTGTCATTGATGTCAAGTATACCCAAGGTAGTCTTCGATTTGACATGCTTGGAGATGGAAAGGTGCAATTCCAAGCCCCTGAAGAAGTAGCAATCAATCATCCTATCATGGGAAATATTGGTGGACCGCTCTATTCCACGGAAGTGATCATGCCAAGTCCACTCTCGAGAATGCTCGGATTTGTTCAACTACCGCACCTAGGTGAGGAGGACTATAAAACCTACACAGAGACGCCTGTCACCTTGAGTGCCTTGACCCAGTGGCAAGAGGGGGCCACTCCCATGACAGGTGGCTATGTGGAAATCACAGGTGATACAAAAGCGCATCGTCTGTCAGGATTTGATACCGTGTACATTTATACCAAACTGGTCGAAGATCAAATTGTGGGTAATACGACGGCCCCATTGCTGATCCACGTGCCCGTGTCAAAGAAGATGATGCAAGACAGTGATTAAAAGCCCTCAGCTACCTCGGACTGTGGCATGGTTCCTTTGACGGTATTAAACTCTATATCATGGACGACACGGGACGACCCGTGCCATTTCAAATGGGGAAAGCCATCGTGACACTTCACTTCAGACGTCGCCGCTAACACAGAAGCAACATGTTGGGACACGCGTTGACACACCAGATGGATCAAGGACAGTTCGGTCAGCGTGGGAGTGGCATCAAAGTATACAAAGGACGGTATCATCAACGTGGCAGTGGTCTCGGAGGTATCTTGAAGATGGCGTTGCCTTTACTTAAATCTGCTGGAACATCGGTGCTCAAGATGGGTAAAAAGATCCTACACAGGTTGGTGAGTGATGTGGTTGCTGGCATACGCAAATGGTCAGAGAGTCTGAAACACTGTGGAACAGCAGCCCTGATGGATGTCCGTGAGGAATGTGAGGAGCCGAGACCCCCTAAAAGACATAAAGCCGTCACCACCCGTCTCCAGAAACAGCGTAAAAGGAAAAGAAGAAGGGTTTAAAGGTCAGTTGTCATCAGACTTTCAACCTGAGCAGACGTCCTTCAAGGCAACGTCAACGCTTACATTGATTTGAAACAGTGCTACCTGAGAGTATGTCTACGCGTGACGAAAGAAGATGGCACAGATACCACGCTGGCGGATAACCCTGTATCGACAGTCAACAACTTGATGCATTCCCTGTTTCGCAAGTGCGGGTGCAAGTGGGACACAATCAGTTGGAGATCACACCCTCTCAAAACATCTCACCTTCAATGTCCTGGATGGTTTGCCGATAGTGCTGGTAAAATGGACTCCTTCAATCAAGATGCAGATGCGAATGCAAGAAACACGGGCGTCAAAACGCGACGTGATCTTATCGTGCCCACCGAAGAAGTGGAACTGACAGGACGTCTACACAGTGACCTGTTTCTTCAAGACCGTTATCTGCTGGATGGTGTCCCTATGAAACTGGAATTGCTACGAAGTCCCGATGAGTTCTTCTTCATGAGTGCTGCTGATGGTGTCTACAAACTAGCCCTGACCAAAGCCGAATTTTATGTCCGTCAACTCAACATCGCTGTCCGAGAAACACATGTGTCCAGTCTGAACGCTGGGGTGACTGCCAAGTAACCCCTTTCCCATGTGCAAGTGACCACCCATGACATCCCGAGAGGTGGTAGAGACTTTCACAAGGATCAGCTCATCGGCGTCCAATTACCAAAATGCGTGGTCCTGGGACTGGTGGACAATAGTGCCTAGGTAGGAAGCAAAGAGAAGAATCCGTACAACTTCAAACACAACCATATCACCATGATGAAGCTGAAAGTCAATGGTCAGGAAGTCCATGGCACGGAAATGAAAAGCGACTTCAGCAACAACACCGCCCATTTGAAACAAGTCTACATGAATCTGTTCCGAAACAAGGGGCAGCTGTGGTAGCCTGAGACCTGCGAGCTGACTTCCAAGGCCTTTTGCTCAAGGTTACACCTTGTGGGTGGTGGATCTCACCCCAGACCTTGGCGCTGATGAAGGCATCAATTATCCTCGACACACTGGCAAGTTGGGTTTGGAAATCCAGCTTGGACAAGCTCTCGAGAACCTGGTCACTCTCATCTGCTATAAAGAATACGAAAATGTTCTGGAAATAGATCGTTTCTGGAATGCCATCATGGTATAAAAAAGAGCGGCGACAGACGGTCATGCTTCACTTTTTTTTTACCTTGGATTTAGAAGCTCTCATGGCTGAGGACGAACCACTTCATACCATCTACCGGGGCACCCTGGCCAGAGATGACTTTGCCAGACTGGGATGGCAACAGGATGACCCCTTTTACCCCAAAGCCTACGTGGTCAACACAGATTCAAGCGATCAACCTGGCACACACTGGGTGAGCATCTACCGTCCAGCTCCTGGATCCGTGGAAATGATGGATAGCTATGGACTGTATCCATTACCCCTGTTTAAAGAGACTTTGAAAAGCATGGGTCATATGGAACAACGATGGAATACGCGTCCTTTACAACATGAATACAGCACGCTGTGTGGGGCGTACTGTCTCTACATGCTGACCTATCGTGTTCGTGGATGGACTTTTAAACAAGTGTTAGATACGTTGGACTGGAAGGACACCAAGAATGATGCCACGGTATTAGAATGGTTTCATACCAAAGTGTCTACCTCCGTTCCTGTGGATGAGATGCCTGCCTTTCGACTGAGTGCCCAGACGCGTACCCTACATCAAAAGAACCAACCTTTCTGCCCTTATTGACCTGACACTTGTTCACTGCATTTTAGGGATGTACATACGTTCACACCCTAGTGGTAAAAAGTTCTTGTTCACTGCGTTTTATGAGTGTACATACGTTCACACCCTACTGGCAAAAAAAAAAAACGAAAAAAAGACAAGAAAAACACCTAGTCACAAAAAATCACAGGACGCCCCCTCACCCTGTGACTTTTTGTTTTGTTTTGTTGATTCATGTAGGTGGGGATTAAAAAGTTGAGAAAAAAAGTGTTGTGTTGTCTTTTTAGGATGAGGAATCGCCATGCACACCCAGAGAAAAAACAACAGAATCGACATCTGACCGCTCCCTGCATTCATACATCACGTCCATGTCTGTGCTTGTCGATTCACCTTTAGAATTCAGGCGTCCGTTCCGCAACATGATCGTAGCGCTAAGGTGATCGCCACTCACATACTTTAACTTAGACGAACGACTGTCATTGTGCTACAATACGATCGCCTTGTGGAACGAGACCTTGCACCTCAAAGTTTACAATCACGTCATAATACCCGATGATGTCATTTGTGGAATTTTGTTGCAAGATCCTTCGGCGATGTAACGTCAACTTAGCAACAAAGTTGCTGGGTCATCGACTGTGTATAAGCTCGTCTCAGTGATCAATCATCTCCACACGCAATCGACACACACCCGCCGCCACCATCTTGGATGAGGAGATGCCCCCTCGGAAACCGGACGTAACGTAGAACCCACTTCTGAGTGCCGTCATCGAACCGGAAGTGCCGCTATCTTGGAGGCGCACACCTCCCGGGACCGGAAGTGCCGCCATCTTGGAGGAGCACGCAACCGGGACCGGAAGTGACGCCATCTTGGAGGCGCACGCAACCGGAAGTAGTCCGTACCAGACGACTGTACCCAACTTCTAATGCCACTTTTTTCTTCATTCATATCCTCGTCAATATCTAATTCCGCATCTTCAAGTGCATGAATTTTAATAACGATTCACGACAATTTTTTATTTAACTTCTTTATTTTTAAATTTAACAAAAATGATCAAGTAAATAAATATATTTTGATGTAAAACAGATGGTACAAATATAACAAGTGCGTGTATGAAATGAAAGACATGATTGTACGAAACACACTTTTCGATATTGGTAGAGATAACCCGCTGGTGCTTGTAAAAAGCTGTATGACACAAGAACGGTATCATATTAACCATACGTGTAATTAACATAGCTAGTTGTAATAGTGTAATAGCAGCGATCCATTCTCGGAACCAAGGGCTCTGTTACACATAAACCCCCTGGTGCTGGATGGAACGCTTTCACTCGAAACTGTCTTGGTACAGGTAATTGTATTTTGGTTCTTGGGCGTTTAATTGACCGGATGTTAAAAGTACTTAAGGAATCTCAGTATGTCTGACAAAAAATACTTAATCAAGTGATGAAACGGATTCATTTAGTTCCCAACATTTGACATTACACATCCCATGCCATCCCCACTCTTCCTTATATAATCAACGTCATAGCAGAAAAGTGATGTTATTAGTGAAAATATATTTAAATATAAATCTCATGGTTGTATGAAATTACGTAACAACAATGCTGAGCAGTAGTCTGTGAACTTGCAGACGAAGTGCTGAAACCTATCACATGAAAACATCCAACCACCGAGTTTAAACTTGTACAATGCGAAAGATAATATATTATTGCAGGGTGTGTCACAAAATATAAATATTTATTTGTTATAGTGGCCGTTGAACACATTTATATTTATATGTATATATATGTATTGCGGACATGTGGTTAGCGAATAGTTTCCTCAAAACAGGCACACTGACTCAGACACGCAAAATGACAAAGAGTGAAAACGCAATTTGTATGTTTTTGAAAAAAAGCCATCAATGCAGTCAATTGTGTGTAGCTAAGTAAACAATAGTAACGATGTTGAATGTTGGTTTGTTTGCTGTTTAACGCCGCACTCAGCAATATTCCAGCTATATGGCGGCGGTCTGTAAATAACCGTTCCTGGACCAGACAATCCAGTGATTGACATCAATATGTATATGATTGTATTCCTTAATAATGTACAATATGAAAACTGTTCTGAGTATGGAAAGGTGTGCCAACATACAGAGGGACAATTATATATATATACAGTGATCACAGATATTGCAGAGACTCATCCCTCATCCACATCCACCAACAGGTCCCGGATACCGTAGTTATTGTACCAGTTTCCACTTCCTGTCACATACTGAACATACATAGCCGCATAGAAATATTACGCTTCTTCACTAACAAAATGGATTGCATCTATGAATGCCCATGTCACTGAAGTATTTATATACAAAAAAATAAATATGATGATGTCCTTTCTAAATTGAGCAATGAGGATCACAGGAACAATTATCACAACAGCCTATGGTATTTGTAGCCACTTAAAGGGGTACTAGACTGTCTATATCTCTCAAACCCCATGTTTGTTTGCTGGCTCAAATTGTATAGCGCATATCATCCTCGCAGGTAATAAATACCCCAATAAACCTGATAGCTAACCACTTCTGGTTCGACGCCCTACCCGCCGCGAGGTTTCTGGAATATTGCTAAAAGCGGCGCAAAACCCAATTCACTCACTCAAACAGGACTTAAAATACAATATTTAACCTTGAACAAACAAAGCTATTTACACTATTATAATAACATATGATTCATATGACACACACATTTATAGAATTAGAAACGAATGACTGACACTACATTGCTAGCCCACCCACCCATCAAGCCACCATTGCAACACAATATAAACACATCCTCTCACAGCAACTGAGAAATAAATAATATTGTCATTGTAAGGTTACACAAAGTCTTCATGATTTCATACCATATAAGCATGGTTGTTATATTCCTCGCGTGGTCTACTTCTCCCCACGCTGCGATATAAGTCCTGGCGCCTCTGGAAGGCATAATCTCTATGATTACGCGACACAGTTGGTATTTGAGGTCTTGGATGGTATCGCGTATTGTGATTTAAATGTCTGCGAACAGTTCTGAAATTCCTCTGAAAGTTCCTCTCATACTGTGACACGTGGGGTGCAGGTTCGTCGTCATCACTTGGGTAATCCGGTTCTTCCTCATCTGCTATCGACACTCTCCTGGAGGAGGACATGGAGTAGTCATCGTCCTCATCGACATCGTCATAGTCCGGCATTAGGTCATCAGCACCTACTAAAGGTGCCTGAAGCTTCTGAGCTTCCTTAATAGCATCAACAGCCTTACGTTCATCATCATTTGCCCTGAACCAGTTGATTCTAGTGCTAGCAATCAGATGCAGGAATGTCCCCCACTGATGGGCCAAGGAACCATAGAATTGGATCATGAGCAGGAGGGTGAATGAGGCGAGGAAAACCACAGACACAGGCTCATATTTCCCTGCGATGAAGAACGTCTCCTTGAGAAGGTCCTGCTTGAGTTGAAGTTGGAGGATAACCAGGGTGAACATCAAATTGAGGAGGAAGTAGGCGAACACCACATTGTTCCTTGCAGAGAGGAGATCAGCCTTTATCTTCTCCTGTTGTTCCTTATTGGACTTCATGGGAAGAAGAAATTCGTTGATAATATTTTTCCAGAAACGAACTTCTTTGTCTTCAAGGTATTTAGGTTCACTAACATTTGAGTCATTATCTAGTGCTTTAACCCAATATGTTGGGTCAAGAATGACTTTTTTCTCCTTTTCCTTCTTCACTGGCCGCGATGGTCTTGCTGCCTCAACTCTGTTCAGGTTGGTTATTGATGTCTGGGGAGTAAGACCTTGCAAAGGAGTGGACCTCTGATCCTTTGATCCGATGATTTGAAACATGAAGGATTTCACGTCTTCTATAAGTGATGCAATCCCCAGTGAATCGAGAAATTTTCTGATTTTTCCTTTCTTTGCCGCTTGCATCTGTAATTCTTCTTCTGCTGGGTCCACCTTCTTCGGCCCTTCGCGTGTACCCCAGGATACAACATTTAGATTGCACAAGAAAAACACAGTCAAAAAGACAAATGTTGAAGGCACTGTCAGATAATAAAGAATTCCATGGAACAAGCACATGAGCTCCTTAGGGTGAACAAGTCCAGTGACAACAAACACGATTGACAGCCCGACCAGGAAGAGAACATTTGGCGTGAAGAAGTCTTCGTTGACAATGTTGATAAGTGTTCCAACAGTAACTATCATCATAACGATAGCGTAGACGGAAGACATCACAGCGGCCACACGGACCTGGGTACTGGTCTTTGCCTTGAGACAGAGGAGAATATAGGCAAGAACTGGAAGAACTGACATTAGGTAGCCTTGCCACATATTGACACCCAACACAGCGTTGTATGATCCAGCTATCATGAAGACCACTGTGCCCGGAGCGACGATACTGGAGGTCATCAGGAAGAACTGGTATGCCATGAAGAGGGTGCTGATGTTGTCGTTCATCTGAATAGTTGTCCGCCAGGAACCCAGCAGGTCCATGATGTTCGCCATTGTGGAGGGAGACCAACGTCGTCGCTGGATGTAGAAGTCGTTGAACGTTTCCGGGGCATAGGTGAAGGCGTCTGAACCAGCACAATAGTCAATCTTCCATCCTTGTTGAAGGAGGAGTGTACACAGCCACCTGTCCTCACCTGTGGAAATGAATTGGTCAGAATAAACTTATAGTTTCTTTGCGACATAAATCCCACACCTCTGATCCCAATGATACTTCTGATTTTAACAATTACCACCATCACATCACACTCTAACCACTTCAGGAGTAGTGGGGGTAGCCCTGTGGCTAAAGCGTTCACTCGTCACGCCGAAGACCTGGGTTCGATTCCCTACATGGGTACAGTGTGAAGCCAGATTTTGGTGTCCCCCGCCGTCATATTGCTGGAATATTGCTAAACGCGGCGTTAAACCAAACTCACTCACTCACTCTTACTGCTGCAGCAACCCACCTTGCTCGTACTGAACGTAGTGTCTTGCTTCCGTGGGCTCCGTGGCGTACATCCTCATCACGTTGTCATCCATGAGGGCAGATCCACGGAACAGACTGAAGCACCCAGGACAACACATGACACACCCAAACACGTGTTCAGCAGCCTTCTGGAGCCAGTGACCAACAGCATACTCAAATTGTTGGTACCACACCATGGGGCCGTCGCCAATTGGATGGATGCGACCACAAACAGCAGCAACCTTTTTGTTCTTCTTCATCCGGTCAATGAGCAGGCGGACGGCGTCAGGTCGGAAGTCAACATCACCGTCAAGAGTCATTATGAAGACATTTTCCGCCTGCAATGAAAATAAGGGCCATTCGTTTGTAAGCAAGTAAGAGGGATACCTGTGACCAAGTATCTAAATTGCATTGATCAGTTTAGTCGTTCCATGACGCCGGGGTTAAAATCTCAAATTCGCCCCTTCATCGTCGGCCTGTCAGACCCATGCCCGTTCTCATTGCATTAACGTAAATAGTAAACGTGCGTCATATTGACCTTTCTTCCCACTCTAGCGGACATGTTGTAGTGCAACAGAAATACTAGTTACTGTTGGCTCGGGGCGGTCGGGTAGCCTAGTGGTTAAAGCGTTCGCTCGTCACGCCGAAGACCCGGGCTCGATTCCCGACATGGGTACAATGTGTGAAGCCCATTTCTGGTGTCCCCCGCCGTGATATTGCTGGGATATTGCTAAAAGCGGCGTAAAACCATACTCAGTCAGTCAGTACTGTTGGCTCACCATCTAAAAGCATGTCAGAACAGGACGCCCAAACGTTTGTTTAACACCATAATCAGAATGTTATCAATGTCTTTTTATGTCTTATTAAAATAGAAACAGGAATTCATACTACATCCTCCTCACCGAAACCTCACAAATAATCCCTTCTCTGTGGCAAAATTGAAAAGAATGATGAGGACTTATAAACTGCGACTGAATGTTCCCAGAACCATAAGCAGACGAACGAGAAACTGATTTTGAAAGGCGTGAAAATAGCGTGTGTGTAATGAGTGGGTACGGTTTTAAGCCGCTTTTAGCAATATTAAAGCAATATACCGGCGGGGGACACCAGAAATGGGCTTCGCACATTGTATCCATGTCGGGAATCGAACCCGGGTCTTCGGCGTGATGAGCGAACGCTTTAACCACTAGGCTACCCGACCGCCCTTGCATATGTTTTAGGGAAAGACGAACGTAACATTAAACAGGTAAGTAGCTAAAATTTGAACTAAAATCGCTGGATGTAAGAGTGGGATAAAAAAACCAATGCATTCTCTCATGATGGCTATGAAATGATAAACTTATTAAATCGATTTCTCGTTTTTCTCCACCGTGAGGTCACAACGATATAAATTGCATGATCATATCTGGATTACTTGAAAATAAAACGTTAACTATATCAGAAACAAAGTACAGAGGTACTGATATTCTTCTGTTATATATATAAGGCAATACACGATCTTAGTAAACAAAGGCTTCCTGAAGTTATTACGAAGGAATTCTCTTAACTCAAAGTGCTCGTGAATATCCGGGGTAGAATAGGTCTTCAGCAACCCATGCTTGCCGTAAAAGGCGACTTTGCTTGTCGTAAGAGGCGACTAACGGGATCGAGTGGTCAGGCTCGATGACTAGGTTGATGCATGCCGTCGATCCCAATTGCGTGGATCGATGCTCATGATGTCAATCACGATTATTTACAGACCGCCGTCATATAGTTGGAATATTGCTGAGAGCGGCGTTAAACAACAGATAATCAAATAAACAAATCACAACTCTAAGATATGCCTTGAATCTCATTCACATATAATCAGCAATATGATCCAGTACAAACGAGTCCTCACACATACCACTCAACATTTGACAAGGATACTGTGTATGTACATTGTTCAAAACTAAACATCAAGGAATCCTTGTCATAGCCCTCATGTTAAAAGACAACGATTAAGGTGCCCTTTGATTCAAATACCACAGGAGAAGACCACTGGGATGCACCTTCCACCTCAGGGATCGGGCCCTCTGATCCTTGTTTTCGAATATTGACATCGCCAAGAGTAATCATTCGTTTTATTGTACCAAAATTCACTTTAAAGTTTATGAAGCCTTTAAAACGCCCTCTGTTTCATTAAAGTAACGGGGGTGGTCGGGTAGCCTCGTGGTTAAAGCGTCCGCTTGTCACGCCGAAGACCCGGGTTCAATTCCCGACATGGGTACAATGTGTGAAGCCCATTTCTGGTGTCCCCCGCCGTGATATTGCTGTAATATTGCTAAAAGCGGCGTAAAACCACACCTACTCACTCACTCATGAAAGTAACTTAGCTGCGAACCGTAAAATGTTAGTGTACCAGACGCAATCTGGTTTTCTAGAAGACGAGTCAGTATTCATCACATGGCAGGTCAATACTGATCATGTGACGAGATCAGTGTCAGTCACATGATTTGGGGGTCGACATTGAAATGCATTGTTTCGTCACGTGGTACGGATTAACCAACAGAATTGCAAGATATAACAATGCAGGTATAACATTGGAATATAATGAATATCACTATCAAATGTTAACAGTGGTTAATATTATTCAGAAACTATAATTTATTCTTATTCAAATTCAGCAGAATGTCCATATTGCTCTCAGTTTACACAGCATTCAATTAAACCCTGGCCTTATGCAACAAAATGTTAATAGATACGCACACAAAGTTGCTGCCCATAAAGAACCACGTTCATTGTAGTTGTACAAGAGAAGGATGACAGTGCAGTAATTGCATCAAGAAAAAAAGTGGCTATTAACGGCTCTTGGGGATTTAATATCAAATTTCAAGATGTGTCATCATTTCTCGTGAAAGCGATAAAGTACGGATAAGACTCTCTTCCTTGTGATCAGGTCTGAATAAGGAGAATGTTTAGAGCTCGGCTCACATGTCAATCCCTTAAAGGCAAATTTATATCTTGCTTGAATAGGGAATAGGATTGTAGATCTTTTGATATGTTGTTTGGTGACATCTTTGATACATTGTTTGTTAGATTTGAATCTAATGGATATAATAGTCTGCATCGACTATTCAAGTTATTCGCCGTGACTGCATCCGCACAAAAGAATAACTTCAACGGAGAAAAGTGACGCTAAGGATATTAATTCCCTTCACTGCGTAATGAATACATCATAATTTGAATGTTTTGAAAAGGATACAGAATGCAGTACATGACTAATTCAGGACAAGACAAAATAGTGACTGTATGAACATCGATTTGGGATACGATAACATGTCTCAACCAAGTTATGTGTTTGTTTGTTTGTTGTTTGATGCCGCACTCAGCAATATTCCAGCTATATGACGGCGGTCTGTAAAATAATCGAGCCTGGAGCAGACAATCCAGTGATTGACATTATGAGCATCGATCCACACAATTGGGATACGATGACATGCTTCAACCAAGTCAGCGAGCCTGACCACCCGATCCTGTTAGTCACCTCTTACGACAAGCATAGTCGCCTTTTACGGCAAGCGTGGGTGGCGGAAGACCTATTCTACCCCGGATCTTCACGGGTCTCAACCAAGTCAGCGCTCCTGATCACCCGATCGCCTCTTACGACGTGCATGGGTTGCTGAAGACCAGTTCTAGCCCGGATGTTCACGGGTGTTTTTAGGAAATGGATTTTTATATTCGTGACAATGGGAAAAATAGAAGGATATAAATATTTCAATATAATGAAGCCCCATACTTCTCGAACCAGTCTTCGACAAAGATGGAATCACATTTCAGCCTCACCCAACCCCAGAGCATGGTCAGTGGTAATGAGCGTTATCGTTCACGCATGGCGATTTCCAGATGTCACGATCTTTTTTACGACCCCTTAAACTTCGTTATGTTGCGAAAACACTGCATATCATATGTCCGTAGCTTTGTGATATCGGTCATTATGTTCAGTTCATTGTACAGGGTATACAACAGCTTCGAGAGCCCACTGCGGAATGTACATGTGTCCGTCGTACATAATGCAGTCATAAGCTTTGTTTGAAATGTCCTCAGCAAGATATTTTATCAGAGGTGAACAATGCAGGCATTTGCTCCTGACTTAGCCACTTAAGCCCAAGCGTTCTCCTATTCCATGACCTGTAGACATTAGGTAGCAAACAGTGCATGCTTCATAATAACTTAATCACCCTCTAGTCATTATCTCGAGGTGTTCGTGCGATTTTGTCTGCTCCTAACTACACAAACGACATGTACTTTTGCCTGCCTCCCTCAAAGCAATACAAGTGCTTTGAAGTGTTGACAGACTATGGGGGCGTGTCTGGGACGGCTGAGTGACAACTGTGTAGGAGTGTACATTTCATTTCATTCCTGTTAACACTGGCATGCATTTCTTCTTTACAATGTGCACAATGTAAACAGATATTGCTGCTGCGTGTTAATAAGTTGTTGCACAATAGGGTTCCCGGTATTTAGGGTTTTTAATTTCATTTATTTATATTTCAGAACAGGACCTTTTCTTATAGCTGCACTTAAATGACTTGTCTGATATGCTATTGATGACAGTAAGTGTGCATGTATACTTGAACAATTAAACAAAAATACATTGTCATGTTTCCTCAGGATTCAGCCGAAAAGCCGGACCTCAAGTAGGTGGAGAAGCTATACGTACACACGGTGTAGTTATATAATCAGTGGTAGATCCAGGGTCCTGAAATGACTTGCGCGGTTAACACGCAATGGGTCTGAAATCCACCAATGTATATTACAATATTTTCTTGGAGAATCCAATATGAAAATGAAATATATACAACAATGTCCCAGATATCCTTTTTATGTACCAGGTGGATTTGTCTGGTAATATCTAAACTCAATATATTTTCGTTTCTCATTTTAAATTCTTTCCATTTTTTGGTTCCACCAGAAACCTGCAATATCAGTTCTCACAAGATAGGTTTATAACCATAAGTGTTCACCTTGAGATCACCGTCTGATTTCCTTTACCTCGGTAATGCATACAACACTACCTGCGATGATTGATTGGACTTATATTCAAATATACCCTAATACGTTGATGATGTTGATATTATAGTAGAATTCGCCTATCATGACTGCGGTGTAGAGATTTAATACGAAACACCCAATGAAATTCATAGCCACGCGTCCTAGTGGATCGTGACGTGACGATTGTGAGATTGTGTGCACAGTATGAATGTGTCAAGCAGCGATTTATCGTAGCAAACAAAGTAGTTTTGTGCACAGTGGTTATCGGTACTATATTTGGGTATATATGCAAAATATAAACAAAATAAAATGTAAAAAACTGTAACTTCGTCACTGTAAGAATAACAAGTACAACGATTTCAGTAACTAAAAAACCCTTTTTGACACATGTCAATCAAATGTCGCACCCTACGAATATGAGATTTTTGACCGGATAAAGTCATCGACTGAGTGTTTACTCAAGCTTAAGAGATTAACTCTTTAATAAATTTGTTACACACAATTATAATAAATTTTTTACACACTATCATAATAGCGTTATCAGACTATAGCCTCTGTGGCACCTTATAGCCCGTTTAATTACGAATCAAGTATACAAATCAGTCTTGTCGCGATAGCTACGGTGGCGACCGTAAGTGTGAAGTAGTGACGGGTAAAGTTCTTCATCCGTAAGTTATCGGATGTACCCTAATGGAGGAAGCAAGGGGTTTGGAGTGTCAACGTACCTTACGAACGACTTCGTCTGGGAGGTTGTTGAGCAGCGACGTGAACGGCCGAACACGAAGAGTATTCCTTTTCTTTCGTTCCTTTGCCTGAGCTTTGTTAGAGGTAAGTTTGTCCTTGATAAGGTCTTCTACCGTCCTATATTCCTGTCCCACCAGCTTGTGGCCCAGAAGGTAGTAGAGATACATTATCTGGGGGAAGGAGAACGTTACACAGCGTTATACAGATAAATACATATACTGTGGGGCAAAAAAGAAAGAATAGCGGATTTATTTTTTACGTAATTGAAAATTGAAATTTGATTATGTCAATTTAACCATCACTCATTCCTGCAACACTTTGTAAAAAGTAATCTGTGGCTGGATAATATTGTGTAAAATAATTTGGTTCAATGAAGACTTGGATGAGAAATGAATTTGCAACCACATGGCACCAACCATGTTTGAAGTGTAAATTTGCGCCGAAAATTTATTGATTTTCAAAGATAATAAGATATCCATCAGCAGTTGTATATTATGCGATTTTAAATTATTTTTTTTTAAAAGCTTTAAATCAAATTATATTTTTTTAAAATAATACCATGTAGAAGTTTTCTTTGAATGCTGACCAAGCGCCGCCAGTAGAGTGATTTAAAAAATATATATATAATATATATATATATATATATATATATATATATATATATATATATATATATATATATATCTGATCCTGTTACAGTCAAGGGATGCACGTTGGCCAGCATATTAAATTGAAGCGTTATCAGCTACACAAATATAAAGTATTCACATCATAAAACGGTAAATAATATCAATAACTGCCTATAATAATATTTTCAGATGACGAGTGATCATAGTGGTTGCTCAAGATTAATTGTTCCTGGTTAAACGATACACTACAGGTAACGGATGACCAACAATCAGGCATGTAAGCACAAAATATGTTGCTCTTCAAGTTTATCGTTTAATGTTCAAAAGCGGTACTACTTCAGGTCACCTGCCAATAATTGCATATGCCTGTAGAAACCTCTGTTGTATTTCTATGAACTAATTGCTTACTAGACGATATACTAAGTATTCATCTTGAGAAGTTAAATATAAGATTTAATGTATTATGCATTTGGGAAACCATATCAAAACCCTACTTATTCCTATTTAAAGACACAATGAATCGAATATAACATAAGACATTCGGAAATATTATCTTGACACATCACTCACCAAATCTATCAAGGTAATAATATTTGTCTTTACAACCACCATACGTTTTGGATTTTCAGTGATCAAGTCATAATTTTCACGGCTATTTTGTCTTATACTCCTAATGGCATTCTCTGTTGTTGGTGCTATTTTGTCTTATACTCCTAATGGCATTCTCTGTTGTTGGTGCTATTTTGTCTTATACTCCTAATGGCATTCTCTGTCGTTGGTGCTATTTTGTCTTATACTCCTAATGGCATTCTCTGTTGTTGGTGCTATTTTGTCTTATACTCCTAATGGCATTCTCTGTTGTTGGTGCTATTTTGTCTTTTACCCCTAGTACGATTCTCTGTTGTTGGTGCTATTTTGTCTTATACTCCTAATGATATTTTCTGTTGTTGACGCTATTTTGTCTTTTACCCCTAGTACGATTCTCTGTCGTTGGTGCTATTTTGTCTTATACTCCTAATGGCATTCTCTGTTGTTGGTGCTATTTTGTCTTTTACCCCTAGTACGATTCTCTGTTGTTGGTGCTATTTTGTCTTATACTCCTAATGGCATTCCCTGTTGTTGGTGCTATTTTGTCTTATACTCCTAATGGCATTCCCCGTTGTTGCTGCTATTTTGTCTTTTACCCCTAGTACGATTCTCTGTCGTTGGTGCTATTTTGTCTTATACTCCTAATGATATTCTCTGTTGTTGCTGCTATTTTGTCTTTTACCCCTAGTACGATTCTCTGTCATTGGTGCTATTTTGTCGTTTACCCCTAACGATATTCTCTGTCGTTGGTGCTATTTTGTCGTTTACCCCTAATTGCATTCCCCGTTGTTGCTGCTATTTTGTCTTTTACCCCTAGTACGATTCTCTGTCATTGGTGCTATTTTGTCTTATACTCCTAATGATATTCTCTGTTGTTGACGCTATTTTGTCTTTTACCCCTAGTACGATTCTCTGTCGTTGGTCCTATTTTGTCGTTTACCCCTAATGATATTCTCTGTCGTTGGTGCTATTTTGTCGTTTACCCCTAATGGCATTCTGTGTTGTTGGTGCTATTTTGTCTTATACTCCTAATACATTCTCTGTCGTTGGTGCTATTTTATCTTTTACTCCTAATAATATTCTCTGTCGTTTGTGCTATTTTGTCTTTTACTCCTAATAAAATTCACTCTCGTTGGTGCTATTTTGTCTTTTACTCCTAATATAATTCTCTGTTGTTGGTGCTATTTTGTCTATTACTCCTAATACAATTCTCTGTCGTTGGTGCTATTTTGTCTTTTTTCCTCCTAATAATAGTCTCTGTCGTTGGTGCTATTTTTGTCTTTTACTCCTAATGAAATTCTCTGTCGTTGGTGCTATTTTATCTTTTACACATAATGATATTCTCTGTCGTTGGTGCTATTTTGTCTTTTACACCTAATAAAATTCTCTGTCGCTGGTGCTATTTTGTCTTTTACACCTAATGATATTCTCTGTCGTTGGTGCTATTTTGTCTTTTACACCTAATAAAATTCTCTGTCGCTGGTGCTATTTTGTCCTTTACTCCTAATTAAATATTCTGTCGTTGGTGCTATTTTGTCTTTTACTCCTAATAAAATTCTCTGTCGTTGGTGTTATTTTGTCTTTTACCCCTAATGATATTCTCTGTCGTTTCATATGTAATCGAATTTTTGATTTCGTTAGCTTACCTGTGACCATCTCTTTTTGTGTCGTATCTTCTCCTTGTCCTTCATATGAACATGGAACAACGTCCCCCCGGGCATCTCGAGGGTCAGGCGTCCGCCGTACGGGGTAATGATCTTGTCAAAGGGGTTCAGTTCCATCCGCCCTTTAGCCACAGACCTGAAAGGGTGACATGTGGAATGCACTGACAGTTTGTAAATTGTTTTCTGAGCTGATACAGTTCTTTGTAAATTTCTCTCAACTCTAGATCCCGATTATGGAGTGGAACACTTTGTCCAGTATTGTCCACTATTGGTCAGTGTTGACACTTACGTGGCTGCTTGGGGCAGAATGTCTAGCAGTTGTTGCACATAGGAGTTGACCACACGCTGTTTGCTTTCCGGATGCGTCATGAATGCGTCATCAAAGATGATATGAACTGCAATTACAATACCAGACTTCTTACTCTGATGGCATATACAGTTACACCTCTTTGTTAAAGACAAATTTGTTACCAAAACAATAGGGTCGATGTTCGAATATAATACCATAACATTTCTTTTCAAAGACGATGCATTAAAGAATTGTCGTTCCTGTGAAATAGAGAAAAAATACATATTTCAAATTTATTATTACCAACTTTGAAATGCTTATCACTGAAATTATGGACGTAAATATGGAACGAATTATAAACCCCCCAATTGTGAAATTGTGGGTCAACGGTATGTGAGACGAGTGTGTATCCACATGAAGCACACAATGACTTGTCCAATATAAGGGGTTCTCCTACTCACTCTCTGCATCGTAGTTATCCTTCAGCATGGAGTTATTATCCGCAGCGAATTTCTTAGCGGCTATCTTTCTGGCGCAGTTGTCAAAGTCTAGTCTGTGAAGGAAGAAAGTATATTTGTCAATAGACATTTGCGAAAGCTATTTCCCGCAAAATAAAATACTGAGATTAATTTCTTTTCAATTTGGGAACCGAGTATTTGATATTCGGGGAAAAATGAAAACCTTTTTGGAAGAGGTTGTTTTGAAAAAAAAAGTATTTCGGCTCATGGCTTTGATCAAGGCCTCATGGCTTTAATCAAGGGCTACTGTTATGTTATTAACTATACACATGCTTGTGAAAATTTACAAACTTAACCAGGCTAGGGAGGTCACAACGACTTACCTGAAGAGCGACTTGAGGAGCTGTACCATCTCTTGCCTCGTCTCGTGCCACATCGTGGCGCAGATGTACACCAGGGGGCGCTCGGTCTCCTCCTCCTCCTCCTTCTTCACTTTATGCAATCTCTCCTTCTTCATCTCGGTGTCCTGCCGTCTCAGCATTGCTAGACTCTGGTAGGGGAACACGGCATCGCGGTGGTTGAAGACGAATAACCTGGAACAATATCCCCCTGTGATATGATCTCACCCAATTGTTGATTACTGCGGCAGTTTTAAAGTGTTTGAGGTGCAATACAGTAATCAGCGGGTGAAGGTAATGAAACATAAAATAACACATACAAACAGAAAGTAAAACAAATATATGAAACAAGAAATTAAACAAAATTAACGATGAATGAAAGACAAACAAATACAAATTGAAATTATGTCTTCACAGATCACCAAAAACTCCCTTCCCTTCAGCCTCAAACATGCACTGTATCACTGTGATTCAGTCTGGACTCAAAACATACCCCTTTGAACGCTACAACTGAATGTGTATATTTTTGCTATCTAACTGTCCACTCTTTGTTATATTTTCGTACATATGCTGAATTTGCGCAGTGAGCATGTCCCTCAGTGATGTGGATTATCATTACTTTAGTATTATTATTATAGTTAGTGCGTTTGGTTTTACGCCGCTTTTAGCAATATTCCAGCAATATCACGGCGGGGGACACCAGAAATGGGCTTCACACATTGTACCCATGTCGGGAATCGAAACCGGGTCTTCGGCGTGACGAGCGAACGCTTTAACCACTAGGCTACCCGACCGCCCCTATTATTATTTTAAAAGAAGTTGATTAAGAAATGAATCGATATGCAGATACAATTCATATAAAGAACAAATAAAACAATGATATATTCAATAAGTATGTAAGTAAATTTGAATAGATCGATAAAAATCAATTAATTAACCACAGATATACATGTATGTGATATAAAAGCACCTAGGTAAGTTTAAATAATATGTAGTTTCCTTTGAAATACTTACCTATCAAGCTTAGCCATTCGTTCGCAGTCTGGTTGCCAAATGTGGTTGGAAAATATGAGGTACGACATCCACAAAGCGAAACCAACACCATACAGAACGTACATATCAGGTTCGAACCTGAACAAGCTTGGGTTGCAGATGTCGGAGTTGGACCAGAACATGGCCTTGTCAACTGGTATGCAAAGTCCGGCAATCACAGATGCCCCAAGGGGTATGATCGCAAGCGGTAGGGCAAAAGCGAGTTTCTGGAGAAGAAGTCTGCAGGCTATACTGGAACTGAAGGTGCATACAAATGTTGACACTATATTGATGTACAGAATACCAAACCGGGAGAAATGAAGTATGATGTAACTCTCCCGGAACCACATGATGCCATAGTCCGTAAACATTTGTTTCAACACCTTGAATACATCAACAGGTTCCGAGATCCACACTTGCGGTAGGACGGTGATCAGCACGATTTGCAGAAGTCCAGAATAAATAAAAGTGGTTTCCCTGACACGGTGAATATTCCTCCGGAATCGTCCCACATGCACGTCTCTATTCCCAAAGGCGAAAACACCGTAAAAATAATTTTCCCACCATCCTATTGTTGTCAGTGCAGCAAAAGCGAACACCGGCCAAATGTCTGCTAGGGTTCTGGGTTTGCCTCCTGGGGCAATTCTGTCTCTAAATACCAACACAGGAATTGCTCCTAATTGAACGAGAAAAGCGAATGTGTAGACTATCAAGACCAACGCAAACTTTACTTGTTTCCTTCTTTTAGTTTTAAGATCATCTATGTGCGCTTTCCCTTTCTGGAAACAGTGAGTCAATATTTTGAAGAATCCGGGAACTTGTAATACTGCCATGCTGAGAATGACCCCCTCAAGGGAAGTCACACTGGGTAATACTCTATACAGAAACAGAGACCTTCCCAAGCACTGGAGGGCATCCACGAAAGAAATCTGTAAAACAGGAACATTTATTTCAAAAGATTGTTGGTTACATATCAACAAGTGAAAACAAATGAAGTCTTTATGAAAACAGATACAAATGTCAACGCCATTGAATAGTCAGTCTCGATTATCTGCCGAAACAGATTCCATAGGGCGCAAAACGCAAAACAGTATCAGGGTTTACCTTGACTCACAAACTTGAGGTCCAGAGGACCCCAATTATTAACTTCAAGGGTCCTTGGAGAAAATATGGGGGTCCTGCAGATTAATAACATGGTGTAGTGTTCTGTGTTCTAAGACATGGTGTTTGTTTGTGTGTTTGTTGTTTAACGCCCTACTCAGGAATATTCCAGCTATATGACGGCGGTCTGTAAATAATCGAGTCTTGACCAGACAATCCAATGATTGACATCATAAACACCGATCCACGCATTTGGGATACGATGACATGCATAAACCAAGTCAGCGAGCCTGACCACCCGATCCCGTTAGTCGCCTCTGACGACAAGCATAGTCGCCTTTTTCTAAGATATAATATAGTGTAATAAAGTCGTGACAAGAAACATAAAGGTCCTGTAATTAAAGTAATGTAAGATATCATAATTACTGTAACTACAGGACGTTTCTGTTTCTTGTCACGACTTTGGTACACTAAATATCATTCTGCGCCAATTCTATTCATTTGGACGCAAATTTCGTCGTCTTATAAAACATCCAATGTCATCACTTAATTTTAGTGATCCGTTTATATAATTTTCATCTCTAATTTGCTTTATACACCCAAAGGAGTCTGTTTCGTCGGATAATCGAGCCTGGTTATTGTCTGGCGTAGACGTTTAAATTAGTAAGCAGCCTCTCTGGGCCCAGGTTAGAAAGGTCCCACGCTCTATTGTTTATCGTAAGAGGAGACTGAATGGATCGGATGGTGAGGCTCGGTGACTTGGTTGTCATCGTAACCGAAGGCATTGGACGCTGCTTAAGATATAAACAACTGCTTTGTCGGGCCCATACTCGATTTTCTGACTGGTTGAATATGGCTGACTGCGGAGAAAGCGAACACAACTTGCCCCAATGATAGTGCCAATCGTGGGCCACTCTTTCCTTCCGAAACACGACTTGATGAAGCAGGAGATCCACGTGACGATGACGGGGAACAGCTGGCACAGCATTGTCACGGTACCCGTGTAGGACTTGTCCTCTGCCTTGGGTAAACACAAACAGACTTACCAATAACTCACACGGAAATAACGATGAAGCTAACTTCAATTATCCAAGAGGAACAGGAACAACTGGTTTGAGGACCAGTGTATATAAGTACGGTACATTTCTGTATAGTATGATGTCTGCAATATCGCGAAACAACACAATTTCCGATGACGTGAAATTATTACATGTATGTAATATTGAACTGTTATTAAAAGATAACGGGTATGTGATGTCTTTCAGATTGGCATGACGAGTTACTGATATAGGAAGTGTCAAATATCATTTGTGTACACACATAGGTATCAATGTTATAGAGAAAATGAATCCAAAATAATCCGTAAAGAAAATGGAAGCAATAAATTCAAGAACCTACACTATAGGAGCATCGTTACAGTGATGACACCCCGTGTTTGTGGAACGACTGACGATGATGACCCACCGGAAGTGAATAACGGTTAACGTTATTGCAAGGTTGAAATGTACTACTCCTCATGCATAAGAGGTCCAACGCAGGATTAAGAAATGTGTTACTTTTGAAAAGGCGCGCATCATACCTTTGGCTCTGCCTGAGCTATCCAGATGACGCTGATGACCGTGGAGACACCGGTTGTGAGGATGATGCTGGACAAGATGATGTACAGGAAGAATCGACACGCACGCCGCATTTTCATCTCGAAGTCATTGTTATACTCAAAGTCCCTTTCAGTCATTCGGAACGCCATGTATGACCTGAAAGGGATTATAGTCGAACCATTCAAAGTAAGACACTTTCAGACTTTGGTATTCACAATTACTTTTTACTATGATTTATGAACATGTTACCATTGTTTAAGAATTTTTTACCATGGTTATTGAAGCAGTGTTGCAAGCAATAACACGGACATCGCACATTAGACCTTATGTTGGGTGTACAAATCCGGGCCTTCGGCGTGACGAGCGAACGCTTTAATCACAAGGCCACTCCACTTCCTTCAATGTTTGCTTGTTTGTCGTTTAACGCCGCACTCAGCAATATTCCAGCTATATGACGGCGGTCTGTAAATAATCGAGTCTGAACCAGACAAGCCAGTGATTGATATTATGAGCATCGATTCACGCAATTGGGATCGATGACATGCTTCAAACCAAGTAAGCGAGCCTGACCACCCGATCCCGTTAGTCGCCTTTTACGACAAGCATACTCGCCTTTTACAGCAAGCATGGGTTGCTGAAGACCTATTCTACCCCGGATCTTCACGAGTCACCTCCTTCAAGGAATGAATATGTAGGGCTGTCTACTTTTTTTGTTCCAGCAGCCATAGCCTGCAACTGCGAGGGCAAAGACAGAATTGTACTTCACAACTTGTACCCATGCAGGGAGTGATTGAGTGAGTATGGTTTTACGCCACTAGGCTGACTTCACCATCTTAGTGTAACAGTAGAAATGACTGTATTGACATAGCAATTGTTTAATGTAGCTTGATAAAGCAGAAGGTTGTTATATAACAAATAATTACAACGGTGAGTGTACATACGGCTGATCTCCGAGATTATCTTCAGAAGTGGCTCTTTTCAATTCACCATTCTCCTCTTCTTCCTCTTCATCTTCTTCCGCGATGTCACCTAGACTGTCGGGGTCGGTGGACTCAGTACCTACCCCTGATTCTGAGAAGGTATCGTGCACAGTGCTGCCTTTAACAGATTCAAACGGGTAGGAGTCCAAGGTATTTCTTGCCCTCCTCTCCTCTTCACGCCTCCTTCTCTCCTCCTCCTTTGCCGCCTTTACTGCAGCCTCTTTGTCGGCCTTCTGTAAAGATTTGTATTCCACTTAAAGAGGAGCACGACTCTGGCCTATTGACAGTTCTAGAAGTTCTAGCAAGTTTAATACAAGCTGTTGAACTCTTTTTGTTTCTTCTTACTAAAGGTTTATTAAATATGGCAATCTAGGAATTAATAACCAACCTAATTACACAGAGACAATATCTCAGTTGACACACTAGGCGCTTATTACAACGTACAAAATGAAGCATCTGGAGGTTAGACCCTCTTTAAGCCTGTTTTGTATCTGGTGAGATTTTGTGTTTTGGAAAATGTCGCTGGGTATACCTCGGAAGTACTTCTACACAAGCCACTTACTCAGAAATACAATTTGCATAATTATATTTGTCGATATATGTTTAATTATGTCCAATGATACCCTACACCATCACATATATAGACAGAACACTGATAGTGCGTACAGGATGGGTGATATGTAAAAATCATTATCGGGTCTGGGAGAGATATGACAAGTGTTGTTCAACAAAAGCCATTTTACAACACTTCTCACTCATTACGTGTCCCTACGGTCGTCCTATCATAAGAAAGTATGAGGTTGTCGTATTTACCTTCTGAGCAACTATTGCCTCCAGGTCATCCTTGTGGTACATCTTGAGAAACATCTGCAGAGAAACGCAAATGAAACATTAGAAAAGGAAACACTGGTGGTAAATTAGTTTAACCACTTGGACATTGATATAATATCTTAACAACATATCCAACCCGTGAAGATCCGGGGTAGAATAGGTCTTCAGCAACCCATGCTTGCCGTAAAAAGCGACTGTGCTTATCGTCAGAGGCGACTAACTGGATTGGGTGGTCAGGCTTGCTGGCTTGGTTGATGTATGTCATTGTATCCCTATCGCGTGGATCGATGCCTGGATCACTGGATTGTCTGGTCCAGACTCGTTTATTTACAGATCGCCGTCATATAGCTGGAATATTGCTGAGTGCGGCGTTAAAAAGAAATAAACGAACAAACTAATATCCCTTGTTCCTTGGAAACAATAACATATTTCAGAAAGTTGGGTAATGAGTTAGTGCACACCTTAGTCTTGCCGAACTGATGCTCTGTAATCCTTGCTTCATCAACAATGGCCTTGGACAGATCCCTCGCACCCCCTTCCACTCGCATGTCTTCGATGATACTCGCATACCTGTTGACATGTAACCATGGAAACTATTAACAGTGAAAGTAGGGAACATGTATCAACGTAAACGTATTTATAGTTAGTTGTATAAGGACAAGTAACTTTCAGCTTAGAATTTAAAAAACAAATGAGTGAGACAGCTTCTTCTTCTTTTTCTCCTTATTATTATCATTATTGCTATTTGCAAACTTATATAAATATAGTACACATGCAATTATTGTATTATATTCATTTTCGTGTTCCCACGTTTTCTGATCCATGCATAAACACAATAATTGAGAGTTATGTCCCCTTGGAATAAGGACGTTGGCGACAATTCAGCACACATGTAGTTTCTTCGGGGCTCCAGATAATCTTTTGAGGCATAGAGTGTCCACACACGGCCTCATTCACATTGGGTATTTGATAGTTTTCTTGGTGTATTTCGTATATTTTAGTCTCTTGGGTCCGATCTATTTCCGTGACGTATTTTTGAACATTTTTAAAATGTAATTCTGCTTAAAATAATGTTTCAGGCAATTTCTAATTTTCCCACGTTCATTTCCTGCCCATAACGTTGTCAGATGTCGCATAAGTTCCCACTGTATATGTATCAGTTGCAAAGCGAGATGTAGCACTTTTGTGCAAAATTTACTCCAGGTGTATGAACAGGTGATGTTGCATGGAATCAGTAGATAAAGGTTTGTCAAGATATTCGAGTACACAAGCTGAAAAGTCTACATTGGGTAATTACGCACACTGTTCTCAAACAGTGAATGATTTCATGCGTATTTGTACGCAAGCAGCTCAAAATTAACAAGGTTGTGGTGATTTGTTTTGCGTATTATACGCAAACGCAGCATATTTGGAGGTCTGATTTCTTTCTCTGACCGACCGTTTAATTACTGAAGCCAATGAATTGAAATTGTCATTTCGAGGCTATGTATGAGACTGACCTCTCGGCAAAGTCGATGTATGAGATCCTGATGGGGTAGCCTGCCTTCCGGACCGTGGCCACTTCGAGAAGCCCGCTGCTCAGAAGCTGATCGCGAACCAGTCCACCGTCAAACTTGTTGGGTTTCAGTACCAGGTTTGGCTTAATGCATCTGCAATAATGAAGCATTTGTCATCATTGCATTAATATTCAGAAACGCACAAAACACTGAAAGATTACCATTACAAAGTGTATAAATGTATCTAAATACAGACATACTTGTTTATAGAAAGGTTAAAAAATTAGGTTATTTTGGTCATGGTTATATTTTCAGAAACTATTCGTTATACATCGAAATAGATCGAAACTATTGTTATATATCGAAATAAATCGAAAAGAAAAAGAAATTGTCCCTCAAAACGCTTGAAAAAAGTAATCATGCTTTAAACACTTTCACAAAAAAGCAAAGCATTGTTGCAAGAGGCATTAAAAATATTTAGGCTAATACTTTTAATTTAAAAAACTCTCTGGTTGTGCACGTGTAGCTGAAAAATATACAATCTCCATACAAAATGTGAAAGTCGGTCCCTTGCTAAAATGATATCGAACAGACAATATAAAGCCGATACAACAATTCAACTTTAAATTCTAACCAATAAGATAACTACGAATGAGGAACATGTCACTGATAACAATATGTTTCAATCGACGTTGCCATGTGTCAGTGTAAGATTACAACTCATAAACGAAAAATGATACCATGTCAATTTTCAATAGGACTTTATATGGGCGTGGTGGTAATTAATATGGTTACCCGTAAGGCTTTATAAACTCCCACGGAGGTCTCAACAGGTGTTCAAAATATAATCCTTATCCGAGATTTGTATTTGAAGTCATCTGTATCTAGCTGTTGAAACACTGAGTGTCCTTCCCTCGTGTCCTATTACTTCTCATGGACTGTTTACATCGCGGCGCTACCCTGCGTGGTGTTGTGTGATTGTAATCACGCACACCATACGGATATGAATATGAAATATGTTTATATTGGCATGTGTCAATTATGATAATATATGTGTTGTTCGTGGCCCCCTTACCTTACAAGGGCGGTCGGGTAGCCTAGTGGTTAAAGCGTTCGCTCGTCACGCCGAAGACCCGGGTTCGATTCCCGACATGGGTACAATGTGTGAAGCCAATTTCTGGTATCCCCCGCCGTGATATTGCTGGAATATTGCTAAAAGCGGCGTAAAACCGTACTCACTCACTCACTCACTCACTCACTCACTCACTTACCTGACAAACACTGGCTTTGCTGTACTTAGTTTGGTCATCATGTGGTCCAGGGAGGTCTGGAAGAGATGAGATATATTATTATTATAATTTTAAAGAATGTTTTTTAGGAACAGAACATGTTTTTTTCTGAAAATATTTAACAGTGAAACCTCGTTAATCCGGACTCCTTTATTCCGGAGTGAGTGAGTGAGTGAGTATGGTTTTACGCCGCTTTAAGCAATATTCCAGCAATATCGCGGCGGGGGACACCGGAAATGGGCTTCATGCATTGTACCCATGTCGGGAATCGAACCCGGGTCTTCGGCGTGAGGAGCGAACGCTTTAACCACTAGACTGCCCCATCGCACACTTTATTCCGGAACATGTCCCAGGACGAGGACAGTTTGGAACTTTATTTACAAGGGGATAATACTCTTTACCATGATCCTTTAATCTGGAGATTTACTAATCCGAACAGTTTAACTGGGAACGGTATCGTCCAGATTAACAGGGTATTGTGTACAGGTGTGACATATCAAATTAACTTGAAGATAAAAACAATATTTTTCCTAGCTTTGCAGTCCAAAAAATGCTCTGGTTTTTATTTGCAGATTATGTGACGGAATGCACGACAAAATTGTTGAAACTACTTTTGTTCAGTGTGATATCTGTTTTACTGACACACCTTTGTGAGTTCAGTGGAGTGTTATAGGGATTAAATGCACACCAGTAACCATGTACTCAACACTTAGACAATGGGCACTGCGTCCCTTGTGTACGAAACGGATCGAAGTCCACTACACCAGGAAATATTACATGTGAATTAAATATTTGACATATTGCATGTGTTTGTAATGGCTACAACCAACAAATCAAACTGAATTACTACGAATATCTATTGAAGGAATATCACAAACGAAATGATTCATTCAAAATAACCTGACACAAGATTAGCACTTTTGTCTTGAGTATAGGTGTTATTCAGGGTGATATTATGTAAGGTCAGATATCAGTATGCAGTTGTCACCGGTTCGTAAAACCAGTCTCCACACGGTCTCGTGACCGCATCGCTTCCCTCTTCCTTAATTGTTCGGCTTCCGTCACCATTCGGCAACGTCCGGCGGTCGTCGAAGTCCAGTGTCTTTACATTCTTTGTCAGACAATTGGTAACCGGTATTCTCTAGCGGTTTAATTGCAAATTTTATCATATATTGATTTCATATCAACATATCTAGTTTAAATCTTTTATGGTACCGTTGGATAACTTATGTTCACCCCACATGGCTCAGTAGTTAGTTTGCCATTCTGTTTTTTCCTGTTCCTCTAGCATTTCCCTCCTGACACAGAGAAGGTGCTTTCTCCGAGGTCCGCGTGTCTTGTATAAAACTTGCCACTCCCCAAGTATCGCCGTACCGTTTACGGGTCGTCTTGCTACTGGTGTGGTCGGGTCGAAACTTAGGTTTCGTTAGCAAGTGGTGATGGGGCAGTTTTCTCCGTGGTACTGACTTACTAGTAACTCTGGTGGTATTGGGCTGAAACGTATTAGCTAGGCTTTTCTATATCGTACCCGTTTTTCTAGTAATCCGTGGATAACCATCTTTCCCGTGATTGCTTAGTTTAGGTCAAGTAGCTATTTACTATTGAGACTCTTTTGGTCGAGTACCTTTCTTACTGATTGTGAGTCTAGATACTCCTCAGGTCAAGTACCTTGTATTTTTGGGAAGTCTGGTATTTACTCGGCAAGTCAGAGTGACTGAGTCTTCAGTTTATAAGACTAGTTTGCTATTCAAGCGTTTTTCGTGAATTTATACAAGCCCACAATGTTGTTTCACCCTATCTAACCCCGTTGAGGTTATTCACTCATTAGTGTTGTGTTAATTAACTCATAGTTGTTAAATGGTCGCAGCTGGCTTAATTGGCTGTCTGTGCATCTTGCCAATTATCTTGTCTCTCTTTTTATTACTGTTATGAAGTTGATTAGCCAATCAGCTTTTATATTTGCTCTGATTTAATTAATCACTGATCATTGTCAGTGTAAGTTGGGGTTTTGATCGTTTATATCGTCGTCTATTGATACAATTAGCTCGTAGTAATAAAACTGTGAACTTCATCACGTTTTCAATTATTTTATTTTATTTTTTTATGACACCGTTGTCTCAGGATTACAGCTCCGTGACAGCAATACATATCCATATATTCTTCGCATGTGGTAGAATTACTGATATCTCAGGGTGATAAAAAAGGCCGGGCAAAAGAAAGTATACATACACATATGTTTAATGGTGGATAGAATGAAATAAACAAGAAATGGTTATTCGATGGTCATGCTTTAGATACGGGTATTAAATAGTTGTGTTTTTGGACTTTACGTTTGCAGTGCTTCGGCGATTGTTTTTGTTCAAACGTCAGCAATTTCCTCGACAAATACAATTTTATGAATTCTTCTTTTTGCCTGGCAGTTAAGGTGTCCCTTGACGACAGGCAGTTAAACCTGTTAATCGCGCGGATTAAGGGAATATCCGGATACACGAATTATAAATTATGTCCTGTCGATATATTATGATGTACATAAGCGTTCGAGGCATTAATCGTTTTATCTATATGTTTTACTGTATAGATCTATCGCGGACATTATCTGTCAGAATGTCTTGTTCGTGGTGGAAATATACTACCCCCTTGTCAACTGACGTCATAACCACGTGACGTAATCTCGCTATGATTTCCTGTTGATGCTGCTCATTTTATTACTGTGGTCCATTCCCGTTTTCCCTTTTTACTCTCTTACCACTTGAAATACGCTCATCAGCGTCAGAAACATTCTTATTTTAATGTTTATGGTGGTGATATTATGAATTGTAGCAGGATCACGAGGGGAACATGGAGTTTTATGTGTCCCGCGTTAGGTTTTATACCATAAGCCGGAGCTGGAGGCGAGCGGTATTAAACCTAACAAGGGTAGCATAAAACCTATCCTGCTACAACGAATTTATCTCACCGACATGTTTTAATGTGACATTGTAAAATAATTTAAACAAATTCAACATTGAAAGAAAATAGCTGTTCGGTTGGGAGGAGAGTACAAAGTATTTTTTCGAGATCGCGTGGACCAATCAGATCTCATCATTCTGACATGGAGGTATGATAAATGAACTTGTTCGTTTTTCATCATACTGTTTTTTTTATCTTGAAAATTCACATTTCTATCATGAAAATTCAGAACGCTATCTTCAAAATTCAGGTTCTTATCTGCAGCTGGCAACAGCGTCAGCTTAATGCAGAACGTAAAGCCTTGGGAAGTCCATTGGCTGACTATTGTTTATCTCGAATATTCAACTAAGTATCTCGAATATTCAACTAAGTATCTCGAATATTCAACTAAGTATCTTGAATTTCCAAGATGATACAAAAAGTTATGGCTCTAATGGGCTCCGTAAGTTTGCCATAGCAAGAGATGCAATAATTAGGTTAAGTGCCCGATCTGATAAACCGAGAGTCTGCCCATGGATCTGAGTGGCACATACATGTATGTAAACCAAAATTGGGTAACCGCCCTTCCTTAGAATTATTTTGAAAAGTGGGTTCGGAAGCATTGTGGTTAAAACGTCCTATCCTCACGCCGAGGGCCCGGGTTCGATACCACTCTTGGGTACGTCGTGCCATCGCTGGCATATTGCTAAAACGGCATAATACCTTCCTTTTACTGGTTTTAGGTGAATTAGAAATGATTAATACATTGTAAATTACCTACCTTGAAGTGTTCCGTCACCCGGCCCGTCAGGCGCCCCGTGGTTCTGTTGGCGCTGGGGTTTGTAAACCTGAAATATTACATTTACGTGAAGAAACTGTGCACATAGATAGCAGTTGTAAGCATATGTACGTGTGGTATCAGATAATATCTCGGACAAAAGAAAACACTTGAAAATTGGATTCGACCAAAACATTACAAACGTTATCAAAACGTTACAGTCGCCGACACTCTGAACCCAAAACGTAAGCATGATACCCGTGTTAAAAACATCACCATCGAATGACCATCTCTTGTATGTTTCATTTTAAGCCACCATCAAACATGGGTGTGTCCTTTCTTTTGTACGGCAGTTTAGTTACGTAGTACATTATAAACCTGTCGATCGTCGTTGAAAGATCATTTGATCCAATCGTCTAAGGAGACACACTTCGCTATACACAGTTGTGTCCCTTAGGCGTGTCAGGAACATATGGTCGCAGGTTCGAGTCCCAGTTTGTCCTAACTATATCGCACGTTGTCAGTACCAACGTGATAAACGTCTAAGACCAACATCACCTATCCTCTCGCAAGAAGCAGACACTCCGTAAACTAAAAGTCTTCAAAGGGGCGTCAAACTAAACTCATTCACTATCGCGAGAATGCGTTATGTCAGTTCTATTTATGTATACTAACGATGTTGGGATGGCGCTCCGATTTCTACCTCCCCTAAGCCGCAGTGAGCTTCGACCCCCTCTGAAAAATAAAAAAATGTTTTCTCAAACACATGTTTTCTGCAAAATATGTATCAAATTAAAGCTTGCTTAACGGCTTATATGGGTCATTTGTTAATTATTGTAAATATTCCCAAATAACAATTTTTGCTGGTTGACGAGACTTACCTGGTTGTAGACAACGTCGCTCTGCTGCCGAGGAGAAAGTAGTCCCGGACAAAGATGTTGCTGCTCTCCTCGATTGCTCCTTTGAGATTGTTGGGGAGGGTGTCACTGTTCTTCTCCAGGAAGCCATGCACGTTGTACATCACCTACAATTGATGACTTTATTAAAGATCTATCTGTACCATACTTGAAAGAACGGCACTTTGGAGGCCTGGTCGTCTAAGGAATCGTACCTCTTTGTGTAGAGTTGGGTCTTTAGCCATACATGAGCCACTGGTCGTGGGTACGAAGCGTTTATATCATGATACACCAAATAGGATTTATCTGTGACATGCATTGCTTTTGGAATTTCTCCAACGTGAAGCTGACACGCCAAACTGCAACTGAGATGCTGTTCAAAGCAGCACTGAAGCCCATTTTTGGTGTCCCCCGCCGCGATATTCCTGGAGTATTGCTAAAAGCGGCGTAAAACCATACTCACTCACTGAAAGCAGCACTAAGCCCAACTCAATCATATAAGCAAGTGAGGTGAAATGGGGTTTAACGTAGCACTCAAGATTATTGCACTTATTTAGCGACGTGCATGCGTGTGTGTGGTGTGGCTGTTTGTACTTGTCCGGACAAATGCCGATTTTATAGTGCTAGCTCTCGGAGAAACGATGCCGTAGTTTAACATGAATACCCCACTCAGACACAGAATACTGGCTCAATTCGACCAGTCCTTGTTTTAGCCCATCAATGCCGAGCGCCAGACAGGGTAACAACAAGTACCATCTTTGGGGAGTAGTGCACTTTACCGGGCGCACTTTTTCAGATCCAACTAGCGCTGTGGGGGGCTCGAACGCGCTTCGCCGGCTCACCGGCTCTGCTAATTAATGCGTTAATTAGCCGACGCTCTACCACTGGACCACAGACGCTATCACATGTAATCAGTGCTCGTCTAACAGGTCATTAGAATCCCCATTGACATGGTAACGCTTGAAAAGGTAAGAATTCATGGCTAACCCTTGCCCAAAGCCAGCTGACCCTAATGACCGAAAAACGGGTGTTGGATCGTAAAGACGTGTAAGTTTCCCTAAGACCGAGAACGGGTGTTTCATTGTAAAGATGTGTAAGTTTCCCTAAGACCGAGAACGGGTGTTTCATTGTAAAGATGTGTAAGTTTCCCTAAGACCGAGAACGGGTGTTTGATCGTAAAGATGTGTAAGTTTCCCTAAGACCGAAAACGGGTGTTGGATCGTGAAGCGAGAGTCACCAGAGCGTGAGGCACGGTAACGGTATAACGAGACAGCGGTGGCACTATAGCGCGGTAATTGAGCGGATGGTAGAGCTCGGGCTGCGCCCGGTAAACTGCATTGTTGCCAAAATATGAATATGGCATCAGGAGTGGTTCACATACAAACAATAAAGTGTTTCGGAGGACCCACCTGTCCAGCGTAGTGCTTGACCCCAAACAGTAGTTGTGACGTCCCTGAAGGAGAGACGACGAACTTGTCGTTCCTGCTGTTGTAGCGGAGCACCGCTTCCAGGAACGTCTTGTCGCTGGACTGAGGTATCGACAACTGGTCATCAACGAGGGGGAATATTCCATGAGGTTTCTGGAAAAACAATGCCAAATATAAGAACATGTATCTTGAGACCACCGCTATGGTCTTATGAGCTGTATGAATCATTATATACATAAAAGTGTATCTGTAACTACTTTTATATCATAAATTGAAAATATACCAACCGCGTTTACTTTTATTTGAAAATATTTTTTAGAGATTAAAATGAAAATATGAATTGAAAAGCCCTGATTAACCGATAGCTGACCTCCTGCAGATGGAAACGTACCTTGAATATGAGATCAAGTATTGGTGTGTTGTCGTTGAAGTTGACGTGGATGAGGTCAACTTCCTCCTGCTCGTACTCCTCCCTCTCCCTACAGAATGTGTGTTTGAGGAAGTAGGAGTGTAGTCGCTCGTTGGCAGCGTTGATAAGGAGTTGCTCGAAGCCGTTGTGGGCGACGTTTTCAAAACCTGAGATGTCCAGGATTCGAATGCATTTGTTCCTGGCCTCGCTGAAATAACGAAATGATCTGAAGTGAGATTTTCAATCACTCATTTAACCCCGTGGAGATTATGGGTAAGAAATATCAGCGGTCCCGTTAACATATCATTGTCGTAAGAAGCGACATATTGGATTGTGTGATCAGGTACGATGACTTGATAGCGTGTCATTGTATCCCGACGGCATTGGTCGATGCTCATATCACTGGATTGTCTGGTCCAGAATCGATTATTTACATCGTATAGCTTGAATATTGCTGAGTGCGGCGTCAAGCAGCAAACACTCAGACCATATTCATATAGTTGTTACTTTAGAACTAGAAGGACAAATTAATTTCAGATGTATTTTAGGGGTTTGTGATTGAGAGAGTCGGCTGAGTTTAAAGCCATCGTGTTGCCCTTTAGAGCATGCAGGACTATGATAGTATACAGACACTTCAATTCAAGCAACCGTGTGAAGACTTACAATGTTTTTTGTGTGTTTGTTTGTTTGTTGTTTAACGCCGCACTCAAAAATATTCCGGCGGTCTATAAACATTCGAGTGTGTTCCAGACAATCCAGTGATTGATATCATGAGTGTCGTGCTACACAACTGGGATACGATAGCATGCATCAACCAAGTCAGGGAGCCTGACCACCCGATCCCGTTAGTCGCCTCTCACGACACAACCGCCTCTTACGGCAGGCGTGGGTTGCTGTGGTCCTAACACGGATCTTGACGGGTAAACAAACTTACACGTGGTAAGATGGGTTTCTCTGTGGCTGGACACCGCCCAACAGCTTTTGGTTGACCTTGTCGATGATGCCATAGAACAAAGAGGAATACAGCTCTCTTGACACTGCGTCCCGTCCATCGTTGGCTTGGCGCGGGGACTTGTTCCGAATCATTTCTTCGCCTGAGAAATGAGTCAGAACAAATATGAGGGATTCGTGCCTTCGTTGTAATATCTCAGCAGTATCTACTCCACGAGGACGGATTTAGATATAGTAATTGTATTTGGAAAATATACGATATGGTATTAATATATTTCACAGTTAATTGCAGCCTTGTCAATCTGAGGTAATTCTGTCACAGCTGGGTCCCAACTCACATGGTTCTAGAATCGATAGAGAGAATTATATATTTTGATGTCGATTTGGACAAAACGACAAGTAACAACGGTTCCTTGGGGAATTAGAGTTGGGGCTTACGCCGCTTTGAACAGTAGTTCAGTTACATCAGCTTTGTGTGGGAGGAAAACAAGAAATGATGCAGACCTTTCGCACGGTGCTGACAACCAAGATTCATTATCAAGTTTAAAAGTTGGTCTTAAATGGAAATTATTCGTAAAAACTATCTATTAATAAAAAGTATGATTCAATATGATCAAATCACGTAACGTATTGGTGACACAAGATGCTCGAGATTTGCTGAGCAACTGAAGACAGAACACGGAAGACCTACAACGTCAAACAGATTCTGTGTCGGCGACCTCTCTCACCTCCAGCTCTGCTCTTCACACAAGTGAGGGCTTCGTGGAAATCGTCATGTTCCTCCCCGCTCAGGCCGAGAAGATCTGACGCTTTGGTCAGACTGTCCTCTGAAAACTCCGAGATGACGGCGTGACCATTGCCATCCTCATCCGGGTCGAACTCGATGTTGGCAATCAGCAAGATGGCGGCCACCACCTTGTACAGCTGGTCCACTTCCTGAACCATGGACATGTCAATTTTAGTCTCCGCTTCCGGTACATGACAAAGAATATAAGTAACGGTATTTCTTAAATAATGAACACTCTCCGACATCCAAGTAAATGGCGGCTTTAGTGTGATCAGTTAAAACCCGTTAAAACGGACCCTTTTCTCTGCGATCACTTCAAAACGATCCCTGCATGTAACTTGTAGAAACAATTAAAAGTACATTACGCCGTACTCGTGACTCGTTAATCAAGACGTGTTAATCCGGACGGTTAATTTCATGGAACGGCTCTATCCAGATATAAGGAGGTTACGCTGTACTCTTTCCTTTTCATAATTATTTCTAAATCGAAAAAAGATTCAAATAATCGGTTAGAACATTTGATGAAACCGTGGAGCGTGGAAATTATTATTTCTAACAGAAGATTAATAATTGAGAATTCAGTTTACCTCTTTTGTGAAGCCGACATCTCGCAACATGGCTTCAAGCTCAATGAAGTATTGCTTGTATTTTTTCTGCTCCTCCACACTGTTAAACACGTCATTGGAACCATCTTCCGACCGGAGTATCCTGGTTTTTTTCAATTTTACATTTTTTTTAAAAGAACGAAAATATTTTCAATACACTAACTGAGGCAAATAGATAAGTTTGCGTTCTCATGATCAACTACGGTAAAGTATAAACGCACGTGTATAAATGACACAAATATAAGAAAGTACAAGTTCATTACTCGTTGCAAAAACATTCAGATCCGCCTAAACTACAGGCATTATGCGGTGGGTACATGTGTCAGTTTCAGCCTCTTTGGTTTACATGACTAATATCAGTGTTTTGTTGCGACTTGACATTATTCACCTGTAGAAGGCAGCGTTGGCCTCCAGATTGAGGGCGTCGAGCCTGTGTACTGGCATCCCGGCGAACACGGCATAGAAGGCGTGGAAGTTCTTTTCATGACGGTTGCGACTTGTTACTCGAAATTTTTCAAGGATGAAACATTCTATTTTAGCTGTAGAATAGAAACGGCACTTGGACAGGTCATGCACATTAAATCTTCGAAATAACTCCTATGCAATTTTAAAGGATTTCTTTGATCGTCGTTTCTGAACCTCTTTATATAAAAATATATGTGGTTTATTACACCCTCATGGTTCATTTTACGAGAAGGTAATATAGTGAGTGAGTGAGTGAATATAGTTTTACGCCGCTTTTAGCAATATTCCAGCAATATCACGGCGGGGGACACCAGAAATGGGCTTCACACATTGTACCCATGTCGGGAATCGAACCCGGGTCTTCGGCGTGACGAGCGAACGCTTTAACCACTAGGCTACCCGACCGCCCACGAGAAGGTAATATAAACTGCTGGGCAAATGAATGCATGCATTTCAAAAATGAATTTAACACCAACATTACAAGGGTCATCAAAATGTTACTAGGCTGAACACTGAATACTGCAGGCTTTTGATAACATAAACACAACTATGACAGAAGTCTCAACTATATCACAATCTAAGTAAGGATAAGAATTTATGGATGAACAAATTTATTTCAATTCTCCGCCCATCACCCCCCACCACTACCTCCCCCACCAGCAAACACTAAACCACGTAACAACACGCATTCAACATATCAGTTTAGGAATATTTCTAAAGTTGAGAGAGTAATTGTATTCCCTCAAGGGAAAGGAGACAGTTTCCATTAAATCCGACGACTGTTCATAAAATATTTGTTTATCTGTACTTGATTGCCTAGTTCTGGGTGAATTGAACCATTGACGATTTCACAAAGGCAGAACCTATTTTTACACTTCACACCAGCCAGCTTATAAATATGTAATTCTTTTGTGGAGTCTCCGTACCCATTGACGCATGCACCCACATATCAGATCCCCACTAACATACATTACATCTAACCCCGTTCGTATAACCTATTTCTTTTAGTTTCGTTTATCACGCTACAGGTGTATTGACAGCAAACTGACAGCACTTGCACTCTAATAATTCAAATGGAGACAATTCTCTACAACCAAAAGAAAATAGATAGCTGCCTGGAAACAAATTTGCAATGAGAGACAAACGATGTAAGTGAAGGGTTTGCTACAATCCCACCCCCTACGCCCACGATCAAATCGGTGGGGGGTGGGGGGTATATTGGCGGGTCAGAGAGATTTAGAGAGGAAAATCAATCAGCTATTAACTATATTTCTGTTCGATAGCGTTCACATATCGTTTCAAACATGTCTAACCTTGGCGTGACATTAATACATGGAGCCAAAATTGTCCAATTATTAGAAAATATAAATTGACAAAATGCATTCCAACCGCATAACGAAATTGTAACGGTAGTAAAATAGTAGAAGTAGCGCTTTAAAATAGTACATCTAAAATATTTATATCAGATACTGGTTATTTTGTACGGTGTTTCGTTGTTGGGGTGGTAGTAGTTGGAAGAATACAACTCGCCTTTTAGAATCTGTCGTAGAAATGAAGACAGAGTACATGTGTACATAAACGTTGCATTCGACGTTCTGGGTGAATTGAACCATTGACGATTTCACAAAGGCAGAACCTATTTTTACACTTCACACCAGCCAACTTATAAATATGTACATTCTTTTGTGGAGTCTCCGTACCCATTGACGCATGCAACCCACATATCAGATCCCCACTAACATACATTACATCTAACCCCGTTCGTATAACCTATTTCTTTTAGTTTCGTTTATCACGCTACAGGTGTATTGACAGCAAACTGACAGCACTTGCACTCTAATAATTCAAATGGAGACAATTCTCTACAACCTGGATCCCCGGTCCAGTCTAGATCTAGCGTTGTAATTACAGCACGTGTGAAAATGAAACACTGGTGAACATTAACCACTAGATTGATCTATGAATGGCATTTGAGTTTACAGACAAAGTTGATACTTGAATCAATCTTGATATCCAACGTCAACGCCAGAGAACATCCAATATTAATTATTCGCCGAAATTGATTCCATTGTGAGTGAGGGGCAAAGTCGTGGAGAAAATTATGTTAATGACAGGACTGTCGGTTTGACGACCGATGGAATGAATTCGGATCCACATGCGTGCTATTGTGTTACGAGAGGCATCCTAAACACGTTTGGTGAAGTCGGGCACAGTTATCAGAGGCAGTCTCGCTCTGTCCTATACTCGTTTGCCTGCCCTATGGCGCTTGCGCCCCTCGCCTGCAGCCGCTAGTAGGCGAAGGGCAGCGTACTAGTCTAGCTCCATCCGACCAAGTTCCCCATACAGCATTTCGCTAGGGTGGACGTTGATCCATGTCCGTGCAGCGGGTCTGCCGGTATAGAGGTGTGGAGATGGGCACAATGTAGGCCTACAGCATATCGCTATGCGGGAAACGTTGATCTATTTCCATGTAACGAGGCCAGCGTGTCGAGAGGGTCGGGGACAGGCCTACAACATGTCGATATACGGGAAACGTTGACCCAGTTTCCGTGTAGCGAGATATTAGCACTTTTGGACAGCGTGAATAATTGACGTGTCAGGCTACAGTCCTGGGAAACATATTAGTATAAGGGAGGTAACTCTCATAGAGAAGTATGGTCCATGGTTGAGTAACTAAAAGCATTCACAACGTTGTGGTTTCAATTATAACAATATCTGCATGTCTCCACTGATCTTGTTCATTATAAAATAAATATTACAACAATGTTACCATTACTTTGAAAATATAAATTATGAAAAATGTTAATAATTTATTATCTATTATGAAATATACCACTATGATCGTGTCAACCTTAATATCCCTTATTCCCTGAAAACAATAACATATTTCAGAAAGTCATTGTTATGAAAACAATTATTACTAGTTTTGTTTTAACAATATGTTGGTTTTCCACTTTTATATCACATAAATATTTAAACTGAAATGTGTCATATTCTCATTCCTGATTGTGAAGGTACCTTCGGCGTTACACATGTGCGCTTTTATGACAGTAGAGGTGCTTGCATCAATAGGTAGGTGACACGTAAAGATCCGGGGTAGGATAGGTCTTCAGCAACCCGTGCTTGCCGTAAAAGGTGACTATGCTTGCCGTAAGAGGCGACTAAAGGGATCGGGCGGTCAGACTCGCTGACATGGTTGATGCATGTCATCGTATCCCAATTGCCCCCATATTTTCTGCAAGGACCCTTGAGGTTAATAATTGGGGTCCTCTGCACCTCCAGTTTGTAAGTCAAGGTAAACAAGCAATAGGTAGGTATGTCACAAAATTTGTTTGCGCTACGTTGACACTCTGGATCAAAGTTATCTTGTGTTATCTGATGTCCCAACATGGGTACAATGTGTGAAGCCCATTTCGGGTGTCCGCCGTCCATATATTACTGAAATATTGCTAAAAGCGGCGTAAAACCATACTCACTCACTCATGCTATACTCAAATTACATGGCATTTTACAGTGATAAATGTCCCAAACAGCGTGCTACGAGGTATACGCACCCACCCGTCAAAACGTACATGTCCCGCGTGGCGTGTATTCTTATCCTATCATATACTTACGACTAGGCCCTGGCTGCTTACATAGGGGTTTTGATTTTGGTGGACTCATGAAGCATTTGTACTGGCTGACAAAATCAACAGGAATACATACCAACCAGTCGCTGACATACTAACCTGAGACACCTATATGCATAACTTTTACTTGTTGTGCTTTTGAGAAAACATACACGGTGGAGTGTAATTTCAATTTGACATTCAAATCTGTATCATCCGCAGGTGGCTGACACAATGGGAGCGTATCACGTACCAGAAAGACACAGATGGGGTGTGTTACGTCCCATAACGTCATGCCGATGTTAGGGTTAAGTTCAATGCTTTCTTACAAAATACACCGAGTGGCAATCCAACATCCTACACTGGATGATTTAACCTTGTAGGATTTGTTTACATACTTGAATATTTATCACTAACTCGAAATTCTCAGGAATATCATAAACACATCGACGTATCTGAATTTCGAGACAATCGGAGTAGTAATATTAGACCATTGTGTCGATAGGAATATAATGTGTCTTAATGTTATCGTTATAATTATAACGATATACTGCTGTACGGATTCAGCTGTTACATGTTGACTTTAGAAAATGGCACAGGAATACAACCCCACGTGAGATTATATTTTGCAGTTTATCGACTATTATTTTCGTCAAATGACATGATCATACATATTCACAATACTGTTATTCTCTGCACGCTCAAAGAAACAAATAAAAATAGCGGAAAATCGTTTAACCAGTGGCAGTTAAAATCTGAGGTTTATGTAGAAAATTCAGTTTGCCATCAAGTTGGTCTGGATTATATAGTTTCCGGGCTGCCAAGGTTAACAGTACGTAATAAACACTTAGCAATAAAGACTTCAGGTAACAAACAAGAAATAAACCTATAAATCGCATGAAGACAAATATAATTTGAAATTGTTTGATAAGCAACTTCTTTTATTAATGTAAAGGCGACGTTTAGGTATAGATCCTTATACCGTTGTTAAGCAAGACATTTACTTTTTATAATTTTTTTTATAAATTGCCATATACATCACAGTGTCCAAACAAAGAGCGCGGAATCTTAATTCGTCAACCAAATCTTCAAAAGAAAATAGATAGCTGCCTGGAAACAAATTTGCAATGAGAGACAAACGATGTAAGTGAAGGGTTTGCTACAATCCCACCCCCTACGCCCACGATCAAATCGGTGGGGGGTGGGGGGTATATTGGCGGGTCAGAGAGATTTAGAGAGGAAAATCAATCAGCTATTAACTATATTTCTGTTCGATAGCGTTCACATATCGTTTCAAACATGTCTAACCTTGGCGTGACATTAATACATGGAGCCAAAATTGTCCAATTATTAGAAAATATAAATTGACAAAATGCATTCCAACCGCATAACGAAATTGTAACGGTAAAACAATAGTAGAAGTAGCGCTTTAAAATAGTACATCTAAAATATTTATATCAGATACTGGTTATTTTGTACGGTGTTTCGTTGTTGGGGTGGTAGTAGTTGGAAGAATACAACTCGCCTTTTAGAATCTGTCGTAGAAATGAAGACAGAGTACATGTGTACCTAAACGTTGCATTCGAAGAATAATGCAGCGGAATCCATAAGTCAACTCTGCCTTCAGAGTGCCAATGTGTAGAAATAGGAATCTTCTCACGAAATATTTTGTAATCGTAAATGTTACACAATTGCTGTTGATAGATGCACAATAGCGTAACTAAAACCAATTTCAAGACCCAACCAGAAAGTCAGATGTTTTTCTCGACCCCCGACGCGTGATCTTTCTTATACTTTATGTATAAAAGACACATCAAATGTCACAGCTCAATCAAAGATTGGGTGAACCGGCAAGTTGAACGTATTTGTTGAGAAAACTGATCACGGTTCTATGGCCGAGCGTGCTGAGATTTTATAGACAACCGGGAACCAATCTATAGATTGCGGTGCGATCGATTTAAACCTATCGGATATCTTGTTATTCCATTAAGTGTGTGTTCAGTGGTGATAATCATGTACATAATATTTACTACATAGATTTTCCCGCAGTATGACCTGCTCGGTGTCGCCATAACTATTTGCCATTGAGATAAGACTCGTATGTACTGTCACTGAAATGCTTGGCTGTCATGCCAAATTGACATATACAAACTAATGTCGGCCATAAATATGTGGAAGCATTAGGACAATGTTAGCTCTCACACTGCGGGGTAATATTGTCATGACCCCCAACCTGGTACTCACCGGCACATAGACAGCCCGTCGACTCATATTCCAGCTCAACAAGCTTTCCAAAACGGCTTGAGTTTGAATTCAGTACAGTTGCTGCGTTTCCGAAAAGTTCCAGAAGAGGGTTGACCTAAAATCAGAATGATTATCAGTTGTGTGTCACGATATTTCTACATGTACATATTGGTGCACGGGTGGCTCAGTCGTCTAAGGCGCCGCGATTCGCTGTGCTGTACATTAAATATTGCTAATTATAAAGGTTAAATATCGATGAAGTATGTCACGCTTTTGTTTTAAGAATATTTGGCTTATCGCGGAGCATCTGTGGCATTAGGTTTTATAACCGTTGCTCTCACCAACTGTTTAAGTATAGGTTCAAAGGAACAACATTTAGTAGGTGTTGTTTTATGCGTCTCAACCAGCGAAATTACAGTAATGTCACGGCGGGTTGGAATAGGTCGGCGGCTTGGAATAGGGGAATATGTACTAGAGAAATCGATGCTTAACAGCAGGCGTATTGATCAACACCTTCGGGGACGCTGATGCATAACGGTAAAATATACCACTGAGAAAAAGAAAGTATGCACTTGAAAAATGGATTTGACCAAAAAGTTACAAACTTTATCAAAACTTTACTAGCCCCAAAACAGTCGCAAAAACAGTGCAGGTTCAAAACACATGATACCCATTTCAAATACAGCGCTATCAAATAACCATTTCTACTTTCTTTCATTTTTAACTGCCATCCAACATACGCTTTCTTTTGCCCGACAGTCTATCTTTGTGTATAACAACCCGAACTTTAGCGAAGCTGGGTTTTACGACAAACACGAATTACGAGGATACCTTCTTCCTCGGAATCAACACGAGGAGAAATATGATGTCGTAAGTTGGTGAGTTTGGTTTAGCGCCGCCTTGTAGAGTATGTCAGTTATATTACAGACTGCCTGTCATCATCGCGGGGAAGAAAATCCAAGTGTCACAAGTTACAAACGCGTGTCACTTCGTTGAAACCATCGAGAACGGACAAGGCCAGACAGACTAAGGATCATAACTATAGGATGATTTGATTCTGGTAATATAATGATAATATAATGGGGCGTGATAATAATAATAATAATAATAATAATCATAATCATAATCATAATCATAATCATAATAATCATAATCATAATAAAAATAAATAAATAATGATAAGAACAACAACAACAACAATATAGATCGACGATTACCCGTTCTAGTCTTTCCACAAGATCTGACTTGGTGCTCTCCCGTCTGACCAGATGGCTGAGGATGTATTTGGTGGACTCTGTCTTGCCGGCCCCCGAGTCCCCGGACACAACCACGCACTGGTCATCTTGACTTTCCACCATCGACTGGTACACGTGGTCAGCCACCCAAAAGATGTGTGGGGGCTGCTTGCTGCGCACCCGGAGGTTGGTGTACTTCTCATTATCCTAGGAGCGGGAAGACTTGAGTTTGTCAGTTGAACAAATTGATTGCATGTTTTGGGAAATCATCACACAAAAGATGAGATGTGATGTTTATCAATTTCGATATTCCTTTTCGGATTATGATACAATGCAGTAGTTTGCAACTGTTCACTCTCGTTCTCGTCAATTAAATTAAGGGTTTGAGATAATGACATCGGTGTTAAGATTTCTTTTTTTAAAAATTTATTGATAATATATGAAATTAACGGTGAAAAACTAGGTCGGGCTACAGGAACAGTAGCTATGCCGAATAGCAGTTAGCATTTACGATCATGTTCACCTCCATAGAACATATTCATGAACAACTAATGTGAACAATTATTTCTATGAGAGAGCAAAACAGGAGAGAAGCGGATAGACACTTTTTAAATATACACAATACATATGACATCCGTTATGCATGCCCAAAACCATGGCGAATGTGTTGAAGCCAATTAGATGAGCGGGTTCTTAAGATACAATTCTGTATGTCACCAGGCAGGGATTATCCGTGCGTAAAGAAAAGTATCACTGATTTACAATCAGGGTAAGAAACACGGTGACATCCACCTGAACACAGCGTCGTACACAACACTCAGTGCCCGGATCATAATACCCCACCACGTGGCAACATTTCCACAAAGGAAGATCAGCTGAATACGTTTTGTGACAGACTTCTCGAGGATTGCATGCCTTTATGCAAGAAAATTAATTCATGACAATTTTTGTGATAGCAAAGAGAGTCATACGTTCCGACAGTTAGTATATAATTGGTCCTATTCCCAAAACGTTCGTAACGCTTCAAAAAACGAAGCTGAATATTAAACTATAATGTTACAATGTTCCTCGTGCTGCAAAATCGTCACGATATGGGTGCAATACTGCCGATGTGACGTTAAATATTAACTCACTCACTCACTCGTGCTGCAAACACTTATGGGTCAGACCACGATACATCAAAATCTTGATTCAGCTGTAGGAATGTTGAATCGTAATCCGAACGATCTGATATTGACAATTGTAATTGATGTTGAATATTACGGACGTATCCAATACAACTATTACATGCTTAAGCACTTCGAAACATATTGTAGTGCAGATATATGACACACCTCTTGACTGTAGATGGCCAGTCGTTGACAAGGATTTACAGCGACGAGCGAGTCCCCGATGTAGCCCTGTTGGGATGAAATGGACAAAATATAAAATTCGAATTCCAATAGCATGTTAATTGTTCGTTACCTTTTAACTACGATGAAACTAAAACTCCAGTAACTCGAAATATCGTTTAAGACGAACCCTATCTATGCTATCTAATATAGATATCCGCTTGTCTCGAATTTTGTTTAATTCGAGATATTTCCGAAGGTCCATAATATTTCGACTTTCACTGTAGAGTATTACAAAGAAGTAATGTAACATTTGTAAATACTTGAGGTAATAACATTGAGTTTTATTTAAGTCATGTTAAGTGGTTTGCTTGTCCAATACGTGTAACCTTCTATGACATTTATGTAATAGATAACATAAACAAGTGGTACACAGAGTAAATAGGTATGCTTGTCTGGAAGTGGGGGGTGGGGGTTTGGGTGGGGGTGGGATGTGGGGGATTATGCAGTACTGGACGTAATCGGTATTCAAGATACAAACTACTGAAATAAGAACAGCTATCACGTTTAACATTAATGTGGTGTTCAGGACATTAGAATTTGACAAGATAGAACCCTGTACGATGTGAAAGGGATAATTCCAGAAGCATGATTATACATTCTGCTTGAGTGTTAAAGTGTTATGCTTTTAGAAATATTCCAGCAATATCACGGCGGGGGACACCAGAAATGGTCTTCACAAAATGTAGCCGTGAGGGGATTCGAACCCGGGTCTTCGGCGCGACGAGCGAACGCTTTAACCACTAGGCTACCACAACACCTCTGCTCAAAAGACTTCACTGTACCGCAGCTAATGGAAGGGGCCTTTGTCACAGCATTTCACCTGAGTAATAATTCACAACCAATGTTAACTGTTTGCCGGTGTTCATAAATTATCCCATATCTAAAGTCGAAATATTTCCACCTACTCTTCTACATGCGTTTTACAGTAACATAGAGAGGGTTGCTTGTAGGGTGGGATTTTTTTAATGTATCTGATTTATTTTCAAGTTGGCATTGGATAACGTTATTTCCTTCTGGTAAATCTTAACCACATATCGCTGCGATATAACACTAAATTACTTGTTAGTAGGGTAATTTGTTCCTTGACATGTTTAACTTACAACAAACTGTTCAGATTCATTGTTTGATAGGCAATACTTACAAGCTATGGCAAATTAGACCCAATTTAAGGATAACTTTAATAACTGTAAAGGCGACGTTTCGGTATAGATCCTTATACCGTTATCAAGCAGGACTGAAATACATTTGTTATCCATAAACTGTGTGTACTTTGTATTTAGATTCAGAAGGCTCCAATGTTAAATCCTAAATTTTCTATAACACGTACTCTTTGAACATTTTTTTCGAACGTGCTACCAAACAAAACCAAATTCCACTTACATATGGGCGTTTAAGCTTATATCTTTGAGTCAGCCATTCCAGGAGGATTTCGGTGTCCAAACATTCGAAATCGGCAGCATCATGTTGTTCTGCTATCTGCGAGTAGTCCTGTTCTTGCATTACTTCATGTATCCAGACGTTCCAGTTTTTGCTGTCACATGTTTTGGAATATATCCTCAGTCCCACAATGTGTCATCACAACCACACAGGTCGAAATGAAGAGCAAACTTGGCCTGAGGAAAAATATAGCACAGCTCATTTGCAAAAGATTGTCCGGGTGTTTCCGTTGGTCTATTCTTAACTCAAGGTGTGTGTGATATATCACTGTCAGATATATCCCTGACTTATCACAGGACCCGCACCACTGTCAGCATTCAGCACTGTCACACGAGGGGGCGGGGAAATACGCCGTCAGCAGGCATGGACATACGGGAATAAATTTCAAGGCTTGGCACTTTTTTTCTAACTGACGTCACTTAGGCCTTTATGACATTGTGACGTAGGATTGTAGGTTGTACTGGGACGTTGAGCGTGTTATCAGCTGGACTAGTTTCATTGGTAGCGTGCATGCACAGTGTCAACCATACCGTATCTTGTATGGAGGACTCGCCCGACTACTTCAGTGAGACGGTAATGAGTGATGGCTATGTTCATACAATGCTATTCATTTGATATAGGCTTTGATTTCCTTAGCGTTTCATAGAAGTAAATCCACTTGACGTTAGAGGCACCGTGGTGGCCCAAGTTGTTAAGGCGTTCACATGGATACAATGTATGAAGACCATTTCTGGTGTACCCTGTCTTCTTATTGCTAAAACAATAGTATAAGCAGCGTAAAGCCACCGTCACGGACTTGACGTAAGTCTAGGGAAGCTCCATCCTCCAATGGGTATGTGGCCAGTACATTTGGTGGGCGGTTTCACACCAATCTGTTGTGGACTATATAGTTTAACTTTCTACTGCCAAATCAATTTTTTTCAACAAAAAATTTGCCTCGTACGAATGCTACACTACCCTGAACCTCACGTGCGTGAACCATACATCTCCAAACGGAGCTAATCATGTCACATGCGTAAATTATTTATCAGCAATTATAAACTTATATTCCATATCAAAAGATAAAAACAGGTTGTATTCATGCGTCTGTTCGTACACACCGGTCTGCCAACATTCCGCTTTTTCGTTGTTTAATTACAGGCAAGATAAAACTTAAGTAAATAGCATCTGCAAAAATATATCAATCGTTCAGCTGACCCTATCTTGATCTATCATGCCTGGCTTCAGATACACACGTAACATACTGTTCAAATGTGCCACCTGTAAGCATAAGTGTTCTCCATTAGCACATAGTAACATTCAGTTTAGCAGCTTTACAATTCTTCATGTCGCGCTTGACGGGACGTAGACGTACGAGAGGTACATACACGAGTACAATCCACACTTTACATTGCTGTCTCGAGCGGCTATCAAAGGCGACCTATCCTATAAGTTAACTACCGCATTAAAATTCTCGGAAGCCGCCAATCACACGCAAGCGATATGTGGACGGTCGAAGTCTGTCGCAAACTTGTTCGGGGCTTACTTTAGCGTGACAGAACATTTCATTTTGCCATCTTGGTGTGCAGTCATTCTAACTCTATTGACACTCAAAATATACTTCATTGTAGCTTTTGTAATTGCTCTATTTTAATTTCTGGGTGTGGCGTGTAAGTGAGTGGTAGTGTTGTTGAATGCCGCATTCAGCTATGCCACCTCCGCTTGTTAATAACTGAGGCGAGTGGATGGTTGTGTGAGGAACGACCCAGTCCGTCTGTGTTCCTTACCAGAGTACGACCGGTCATTTCCACTCCTCATTCAGTCGACTCAGAGGTCTCAAATCTATTAACATATCTGTGATTCAAGTATTTAGGAATTGACTTTCAACTTTCTGTGAGTTCATTGGAGTATGAACCTTCATAGAGTTAGTGCCAAACTGTATGAACGTCTGAGCTTGCGCTAACTCTATGAAGGTTCATACGCCAATGAACTCATACGAAGTGAAAGTAATTTCTTCTTATTTTTCATATCACTATTTTATACCTCGAGGGATGTAGCGCTAGATCTATACGCGTGACTTCATGTTTACACTGACAGCCATACAACAACTAGCTGTATCGAGGAATAAAATAGTTCACCAATCAGAAAAGTGACGTGAGCGTAGTATGCTTAACTTACTTCACAGGAACCTTTGGTATAATTTGTTTGCAACAAATGTGTTCAAATAATATAATCAGTGGGTGATAGGTGTTTTAAGAACTATGTCAGTAAGTCAGTCACAATGACAGCGCGTCGTAATACATTTACATCAACTGCAAGACATCTAAATAGCCGACAAGATAAACGTAACCGATGTTATATTTGGGATAACACTTTCTTAGTAAAGTACAGATTCTCGTTCTTTTTTGGGTTGAGTCCCGTCCGGGATTCGCACCCACACTTGCCAGAGTGAGGCCCCTTGTCGCCGAAAGCTATGAATACACAATACCATTTAGAAAGTGGTCAAATGTAACCGATGTTTCTAAATGGCATTGTGTATTCATAGCTTTTGGCCATGGGAGCCGTGCCAATTTACACTTGTCAGAGGGGTACTCAAAGTACGCGATCTAGACTACCAGTTGTCGGACTTTCATTTTTGTGGAAGCCTCGGTGGCTGAGTGGGTTAGATCGCTGACTTTGCGTGCTGGCGATTAGATGCCTCACTCTGGCAAGTGTTGGTTCGAATCCCGGACGGGACTCAACCTAAAAAAGAACTAGAATCTGTACTTTACTAAGAAAGTGTTATCCCAAATATAACGTCGGCTACATTTGACCACGATAAACGTGACGGGAGATATTTCTGAAGTTGTTCTTGAACCTGTTACATGTGTTTGTCATCATTGATCAGTTGGAAGGTTCATTGAAAGGTGATTATAAAGATGTGTCAAATAGATACTATGGTGAATTCACGTCGGTGGATGTGCATTTCTTCGTTTTGTTCACTAGGATGGGTCGTAGCGAGGATATTCGTGAACGATCATGCAATCAAACTCTCTGACGTTTCTCAATGTACACTGAAACGTTGAGTTCAAGATTAAAGGGTCTAAATGATCAGAAAGAACACTTGTATATGCAATCGTACAAGGGAATTCCCAGACGTTTCCCCAGGAAGGTGGAAGTAGTCCGTCAGTGTTTACTTGATTTCAAGAAGACAGTCTTGTGAAACACGCAGGAACGACAAATTGTGTCGTTCATACGCTTATGAACGTCAGTTTCGCGGTCATGTGACCGGCCTCTCTTCCAAAGCCGAATGTGGTGTTAATTCAAATTAACAAAATTAAACCAAAAAATGTTGTACTCTCTCATCACATAAAACCATTTAAAACAACGAACATGCCTCGACTAACCGCAGAGCAGAGGGACAGAGCCATCGGTATGTTGCAAATGGGAGCGACGCAGGAGCACGTTGCCAGGATCATGGGCTGCTTCAAGTGCACCATCGCCAGACTTGTCACACGTCACAAACTGACAGAACTGCAGACAGGCCGAGGAGTGGAAGACCCAAGGTCACGACCCCACAAGAAGACCGGTGTTTACCGGTGTTTCACCTAGTATCCAGATACCTAACTGTGACGTCATCATCCGCCAACAGCCTTGGCCATCTAGTCAGCAAAAGGACCGTTGCTACACGACTCCGCCTATATGGTCTCCGTGCCTATCGACCTTTCAAGGGCACGACGTTAATGTTTCTACACCGGCGTCACAGACTGAGATGGGCTAGGACTGTACAGCAGTGGCAGCAGAGAAATTGGCGAAGAGTGCTCTTCAGCGACGAGAGTAGGTGCCAGCTCTTCAAGTCTGATGGGCGGGTTCGAATCTACGACGACGTGGTGAACTGACGGCACGTTGTTGGTGTCCAAGAATCGGAGCCTTATGGAGGTGATAGTGGCATGGTCTGAGTCAGTCGGTCTGAACTGGGTAATTATGTTAAAATGCGACATGGTATCTCAGTGTCAATGACTATAAAATCGACATTAGTCCGGACTAGTTAAAGGAGCCATACACACACCCGTGCATGCACGTCGCTGTAAAAGTGCAATGATTTTGAACAAGACGTAAATCCCATTTTCACCTCACCTGAAACAACATTCACTGGGGTCTGGGGTGGCATCTGCGGGGACCAGAAGACTGATCTGGTCATCTTTGACGGAAATCTCACTGCACGTCGTCACATTGATGAGTGAGTGAGTGATTATGGTTTTACGCCGCTTTTAGCAATATTCCAGCGATATCACGGCGGGGGACACCAGAAATGAGCTTCACACATTGTACCCATGTCGGGAATCGAACCCGGGTCTTCGGCGTGACGAGCGAACGCTTTAACCACTAGGCTACCCGACCGCCCCATTGATGAGGTTTTGCTGCCTGTGGTACTGCATTTCCTGCAACGACATCCACGGACGCTGTTTCAGCAGGGCAACGCCACCTCTAGTCACAAGCGTCTTTCAGTACGCCAACAACGTGACCGCATAACAGTGGCCAGCCAGATCACAAGACCTGTCGCCCACAGACATCTGGGACCAACCTGGACGCGCAGGAGTCGGAAACATCAGCAGCAGCCTGCAATTGCCCTGCAGGAAGAATGGTGTAGGATCCCTAATCAGGGTGCCAGGAGACTCGTGTACTCAGTACAACGTCGTGTTAGGGCCCGCATCGTTGCTGGGGGGAATCACATCCGGTACTGAATCATGTGTGTAGCACGGGACTTTAAACGAGATCGACGTCGATTCTGCGGATGTGATCGAATACTGGACAGTGCACCCAGCATGATAAACGTGTCTGCAGAACTTGAAGTACATGGTTTTTTATCTTGTCATTTTCAAATACCGTGTTTGGATAATTGGTTTTTTTTATAATAAATCATCAACTGTTACTAAATTTTGTGTCTGTTTTGTTTTAGACCAGGAAATTGTTTGGTGGCGTTTCTTTTGCCCGGCAGTATATAAGATGCATTACCTCATTGTACGCTATATTTTGTACCGTGTGAACAAGACTGAAGCGACGGACGGCTACAGAAATGTTGTATGTTTTACTGATGTCTGTGAGGGTAAAGTATGTAAATGGAAAGAATAACCGACTCTCATTTGATCACTTGAATCAGCATCTAACAACGTCAATGCCACTTCCAACATTTCATCCTTCCATTCAGCTTTCCACA